AAACCCTAAACCCTAAACCCTAAACCCTAAACCCTAAACCCTAAACCCTAAACCCTAAACCCTATACCCTATACCCTATACCCTATACCCTATACCCTATACCCTAAACCCTAAACCCTAAACCCTAAACCCTAAACCCTAAACCCTAAACCCTGAACCCTAAACCCTAAACCCTAAACCCTAAACCCTGAACCCTGAACCCTAAACCCTAACCCTAAACCCTAAACCCTAAACCCTAAACCCTAAACCCTAAACCCTAAACCCTAAACCCTAAACCCTAAACCCTAAACCCCTAAACCCTAAACCCTAAACCCTAAACCCTCAGTGTCAGATGATGTCAGCTACTCCCGGCAGTTTGTCCAGACTCGCCGAGGAGTTTGTCGTAATGCGCCAATAATTCCTGGGCAGAGATAAAGAAATTCCAGCTGTCTCTCCCCCCTTCCACTGTTGCTGCTGCCACCAGCAGTTCGTCGAATGTGGTTAGTACCCCTGGAAAACTCTGTGTGGTCCCCGCGATGTTGTCTCACGTCCTTGTCGCGCGCGTTTAACCAAACGCCAAGAAATCCCACGAAAATGTCGGCACTTCCTGCCGTAAATCGGTAATTTCTTCCGTAAAACTCCGTAAATGTCGGTGTCGCAACCCCCGTAAATTCTTGGCTGCAGGTGTAGTTCTCCTCCGAAAATTTCGGTCGTAATGTAGCCGCCCACTCGGTCACCAGTAGTTTCCGTCAGTTCACCCGAACCCAGCATGCGGGTATAATCGGGAACCGGGGACTTGCCCTGGGTTATTCCGAGACCGTCGTTCACGGAGCCTAGCGCGCCTGTACGACGTCAATCCCGTTGTCGAACTGCCCTTACCGATGCTGCTTAACAAAATATCACGTTTTTCTCCCACCGGCGCTTTGCAGATGTGCCACCCATCGCGCGTCGTCGGCAGGTAAGTCTTGAAACTTCTGTCAGAATCCCAACCACTAACCATTGGGATAAAAGGGCTTGTTTGTATAGCGGGTGAGTGCGCCCATAACCCCCCAGGCCGACATGCCTGTAACCCTTCCCTAGGATCATCGGGGATCCCCAGTGGACCTCTGACACCCCCCCCGCACTGGGATGCCCGAGGTGCTTACACCGGGAATCGAACCCGAGACCTTTGCTCTGATACCATGTCAGAATCCCAGCCACTAACCACTGGGATAAAAGGGCTTGTTTATATAGCGGGTGAGTGCGCCCATAACCCCCCAGGCCGACGTGCCTGTAACCCTTCCCTAGGATCATCGGGGATCCCCAGTGGACCTCTGACACCCCCCCCGCACTGGGATGCCCGAAGTGCACACACCGGGAATCGAACCCGAGACCTTTGCTCTGATACCATGTCAGAATCCCAGCCACTAACCACTGGGATAAAAGGGCTTGTTTATATAGCGGGTGAGTGCGCCCATAACCCCCCAGGCCGACGTGCCTGTAACCCTTCCCTAGGATCATCGGGGATCCCCAGTGGACCTCTGACAACTTCGACTGCTCCCATTTTTTTAGTTTTCGACTCCCCGACAATATCGCAAAACCGCCGTTCACCCAGCGTCCGCGTCTGCCGGTTGAAGTATAGTTTGAAGCTCCTCCTTCTTTTTTTTTTTTTTTTTGGTGTTTTCGACTCCCCGACAATATCGCGAATTCGCCGTTCACCCAGCGCCCGCGTCTGCCGGTTGAAGTATAAGGTTGAAGTTCCCCGCGCGATATTTCGGCTATGGTGAAAGTGCAAATGCTATCGGAGTCGGGGCGTTTTATTTAAAAAGCTAGCACCCAACCGCTTTGCAGCCCACCGCGCCTATCACGCCACGTAGCTTCACTGGTACCGGGTCCCAACATCGCCGCTGCGCCGTCAATCTGAGTAGACGCTCGGGTCAGGAGGAAACCGTAGACTGCACCGTTGTTTTCGTCGCAGCTCCCCGACTTTTTTGCGTGCCGTTCACCCAGCCCGCTTTTGTCGGAGTAGAACAGTGCCGCGAGCTCCCCCTTTTTTTGGTATTTTCGTACAGCTGTCGAACGAGCACCAAACCAGGTGCCTTTAACCAGCACAGGGTAGGCACGTGTTCACCCCCGTTATTCGGCCAGGTCAGGTCGGCTGCATGAGCCGGAACCAAGACTTGGTGGGGATGGTGAGGTTCGGGCGACGGAGGGCGGCAGGTCGTTTCCACCGGCTTTTAACCTGCTCCCTTCGTCGTTCTCCAACCCCCGCTTAGCCGTCGGGCAGTTTCTGTCCGTGTGTCCCGGCGGCCTTACCACTCTCCGCCGTAATGTCGGGGTGGTATTTTAAACGCCGTTTAAAACCGTGGGCTGCTGCAGCTGTCCCCGAAAATGTGTTCCTTACAGGGAAACCACTCTCGAAACGGCCGGCCAGCTGTCAACAGTACCAGGCACGCAGCGTCATGCGAGATTTCTTCGGGGTGTATGGGCCCGAATTGCCCTCGCCGCCTGCGTCCCACTCCTATTGAGCGCGATTTAGCCACTCCGGTTTTTCGTTGCAGCCCGTAAGTGTCGGCGGGTATGAAGTCCCGTCTGTCCACATGCGCTCCTGCCGAAATCGTCGGTGACGCGCCCGCCATGCAGTAAAAGCCGCTGCACTTAAACGGTCGGGCGGGACGGCAGTTGACTCCCGCAATAGTCGGGCAGTCGTCGTGGCGTCTCTCCTCGTCACGGACTTTTCCCGACGCAATTACTTTAGCGCCTGGCGAGTCCGTACAGTTGTCCCTTGTTTTTTCTTCAACAGTAGCTTCTTCCGAAATTCTCGCGTGCACGTTGACGAACAACCACGCCAACTGCCGCACAGGACGACGACTCCGAAAATTTCGTGCAGGTGCCGACGCAGATCCGCTGACGCCAGCTGCCACACGAAAATAACTCCGAAATCGTCGCGACGCAGCGGAAATAACTCACGTTTTCAAGTCGCGACAGCTCCAGCTGTCCGTTGCCCGGGGGGAGGGAGGTCACGGTCGATCGCGACCGTTCGAGGCAAGGATCTGGCGGTGCCGAAGGAGTGCCCCGTAAAACCATGGCCGCGAAGAGCAACTAACCCGTTCTCTTGGCCGGCCTACGCAACTCCTGGACCCCAAGACATCCTTCCTCGTCCCCCCCCCCCGAGGGGTATTACACTCTAAAAAGCGGGGTAGGCTAGGAAAGTAGCTCTGATACCAGGTGTTACTTGCAGAGTGCGCAGTAAAACGAATATCGAGAATGAATGACTACTGAATGACGATACAATGAAAGTGACGCGAATTTATAAGGAGAATCCTAGCTAGGCGAAGGGTTCGGGCTAGGATGGCTCGGAAAGTGTTGCGATTGGAGCGGTGGCGACTCGGAGGTGGTTCGGGGCGGAAATGTAGGCCGAACCGGGCTGACGCGTGGTGTTTGGGTTGTACTCGCTAAAATGCGCGTACAGTAAGGAATTGTAATTCCTTACATAGTGCAAGTGATGTTACGGCGAGTCTTTAGAGGTTCTGGTCTTGCTTCGATGTTTCCGCCGCTTTGATACTCACTTGGCAAGAATCCTTGGGTGACGTGGTCCACGGTTGATGTGACATTCGATGCAGTATGACATGGCTGCACGCTCATTGGATGGATAAGGAAGATGGTAACTCAGGTCAGACGGTTGTCGCCACCACTAGTTGTGAGGGTTCATCAGCGAGGTAATCCCTTCTCGCAAATTCAGCCTCGGAATTCTTCGCCACCCTCGTGCCAATCGTTCCCTCATTGCGCCGCCTGACAGGCAGGCACCGCCTTTACTTCCATCCTAGTGCTGCATTGCGTCCTCCCCCGCCACGCCTCGAGGAACTCCTCTCACTGCAACCCCTCCCCTCCTCTCTCCTCCCTTAGCTCGCACCACAAACCCAGATGCTTCAAACTCCCTTTGCACAGTGTCCTGCAGAACAAAGAGCGCGAGCTTCATTCATGTTTGGTTCCTGTTCAGAGTTAGTACTCACGTGCGAGCATGGCGTGGCTAGAGAAGCTGAATTCGAGGCTCGAGTCATTCCTAGATGTTGACTTCGACAGCTCCCCATCCTTCCTAACCCAGGTTTTCTTTCACGCGGCCGAACCTCGTTCTGGATTCGATGATTTTTTCAGCTGCCGTTCTCTTCAGTTGAAACCTTATTTTCCCTCTCAGTTGTGCTTCCCTGCTTCCTGCCTCACCCGCCGTATAATTTCGTGACTATCTCCTCTCTATTCCATTACCCTCGTTCCATTGGATGCGAAATGTTGCACATGTGCTATTCCCTATCGTTATAACTCGCGCCTGTTACATTTCTTAATCACTATCTTTTCCGTCTCATCCTTTTCTCCTCACCTTGCTTGCCTGCTACCCTTTCCTGGTGGTCGCCCCGTGTGCCGCAGACGTCGCACATGGTGGAGTCGTCCGTCGCTCAGGTGGGCAGCGGCGTGCGACAGCTGTACGGCGACTTGGTGCGCGACCTCTTCGTGCCCGCCTGGGTCGACGACGACCTCTTCGCCCCTGCCGCCCCTCTCCCCGCCGCTGCTGCCAAGACGGCCGCTGCTGCTGGTGCGCCGACCCATGTCGCTTCTCACTCGAGTGCGCGCAAGCGCGCGTCGGCCTGCAGCGCGGCGGAGAGGGGCTCCAAAGCAGCGGGGAGGTCGGGGGACGCGCGAGGGGCAGAGGGAGGCGGGCGTGGCACAGGAGGCGGCATGCACGGTGGTGGAGTGAGCGCTGGTGAGTGATGTTGCTCTTTCCTCGGCGCCTCTCATGCTCATTCCGCTGCCGTCCCTGCTCTCACATCCAAGTGCCTAAACCTGCCTCGTTTCTTTTCCTCTCCGCCCCCAGTTCCTCCCCCCTCCACCGCGCCAAAACGCGCCTCTCCCGCGCCTTCCCAGCGCGGCCCTCTGGGTGCTACTCCGGGCGGCACTGCTCCGCCTGCTTCTTTTGCCTTGGCTGGTAACGGTGGAGCGGCGGTGCCTGCCGCCAGGGGGGCGAGTTCACCCGCCAAGGGGGGTTGCGAGGAGGGCGAGAGTGCGCTCACAGTGGGGGGCGCGGCAGCAGCTGCTGCTAGTGGCGACGCGCGTGTGGTGCGGCGAACAGGGAGAGGCGACGTGGCATCTGAGGGCGCGGTTACAGCGCTGCCCATGGCAGGAGGACGAGACGGTTTGACAGGAGTTGTGGCGGGCGAGAGAGAGCGCGGCGAGACAGCGGGCAGAGTGGCAGCGGTGCGAGGAAAGCTTGGCACGGTAGTCGCGCCTGGTGGGACGAGGCAGGGCGTTAGTGCCGCATGCGCAGGGACGCAGGGGTCAGCACGGGCTGGCGACGAGTGCGAGGAAGAGGAGGAGGAGGAGGAGGAGGAGGAGGCGATGGGCGAGTGGCGGGAGATGGTGGGCGAGCTGGATGCGCTGCTGCCTGGCGACAATGGGGAGGCGCAGGGAAGCAGCGTGGGGGGGAAGGGCGGGGGGAGTGGCAGCAAGGGGAGCACTGGCCCTCATTGGCCCCCTGGCAGTATTGCGGGCTTGGTGGCTGGGGTCGTGCAGGCTGGGCACGCTGCAGAGGATAGTTGCAAGGAGGGAGGGAGCGGGGAAGGGGGAGAGGGCAGCAACGAGCAGAGGGCGGGTGCAGAGGGAAGAGCAGGGGAGTGTGGTGGCGGGGCAGGTGGGTCGAGTGGAGTGGATGTGGTGGCGCAAGAGAGGGGTGAGGGAGGGCAGCGTGCAGGCGAAGGCGACTTGAACAAGGAAGGAGATGTGGCACCAGCGTTGTGCTCCGATCCGTGTGTGGCAGCCTTGGTGTGTGCTGCTCCACCTCTGGCTGTGCTGCGATTGCCTTCGCCCCCGCCCCCACCACCGCCACTGCTGCAGTCACCGCCATCGCCACCGCCACCGCCACAGTGGGCACAGGCACGGCTGGTTTCAGCGGACGCTGCCGCTGCCACTGCTGCTGCCACAGAGATGGGTGATGGGGTTGGGGAAGGGGAGGGGGAAGGGGAGGTGGCTTGGAATTGGGCTCCTCGAGGAGCAGCAGCAGTGCAAGGAGATGCAGTGGTGTTGGTGGGTAGCAGCAACAGTGAGGCAGTACGTGGGGGTGCGCCAAGGGAGAGCAGTGAGGCATTGCAGGGGCGTGAAGAACCTCCGCGGAGTGAGGTACTGCCGGGGAGTGAGGCAAGAGAGCGAAGTGATGGCGAGGTGCTCCGTGAAACGAAGGACATGGCAGTGGCTGAGATAGGCGTTACTTGCACTGTAGCTGGCACCAACAGCACTGACAGTGAAACTGGGCCCTCCTGTGTGAGCACCACTGCAGCGACAGACAGCAATCTGCAGCAGTTGGAGACAGTGACGGGAGCAGCAGGAGAAGGCGTCAGCGAGGAGGATGAGGACGAGGCGTGCATTCCAGACATCGACGAGGTGAGAGCAGAAGAGGTGAGAGCAGACGAGGTGAGAGCAGACGAGGTGAGAGCAGGCGAGGTATGTGCATACACTCATGAAGCATGCGAATGCTGTCATGAAGCATGCGAATGCTGTCGTGAAGCATGCAAATGCAGTCATATGATGGCAGGAAAGTGGCGTAGTCTGAACCTGGACAACATATGACTGCCCTTGTTCTCAACTTTAGGTTACTACTACCTAGCTTTGTTACGTTAGGTTCTTTTCTGAACTAATCCCGGTGTGCATTCGACTGTATCGTGACTGCTGTGTGCCTGCGCTGCACTGCAACGCACTGCCTGTGCAGGTCATTGCGGAGTTGAGCAGCCACACCCTGCCTCCACCGCAGCAGATTGCAGCTGGTCGTAGTCCCCTCGCGGCCACAGCAGCCTCACAGCGCACTCCCAATCAGCCACAAGGCGAGTTCACAGCACGCTGGTTAGACGTGCCCCCCCATAACTCCGCCACACCATGTCTTTCTTCCATGGGACCTTCTCTTCCCTATGAAAGGTTGCCTCAACTGCCCAGGTCTCCTGCACACTTCGATCTCCCAGCTGCATCTCCAGCAGGCGTTGGTGACGTCGCCCCATGCGGGCTGGAAGGTCAAGCTCCTCCTTCAGAGGAAGAATGGGACTGGGAGTTCGTATGAGCTTGGATAAAGCACCTTGTAAATATATGCATCTCCATAGGATGGCCCCTGCTTGCTGCATTCTAGCGCCATCATGTCCAGGCTTTTACAGTAGAATGATATAGTCTATCTTGAGACAGGCTTGTGCAACTTGGCGCAAAAAATAGGTTTTTGTTGATACAGCACCCTGTTTGTTCATGTCCATTCCCCCAAAATATGACCTAGAGGCATTGGTTGAACACTCAGAGCATAGAGGCCATAAATCGCATCCCACATACCAACTGGTTGTGAGGGGCTTGCTTTGACTATGGAGCCATATGGGCTTTCACATATGAATACATGCAGTCAATTTCCGGGTTAGCTTTATTCATGTGCAAGGTGGGACTGGGATGGCATGTGCTATCGTAGAATTTTTTTCATTTACGAGATCTCATGAATCAATCGTTCCACTAAGTTCAGCGTATGCAGTATCTTAAAGCCGGCAGCCCAAATTGCACAAGTTTTAAAAGGTTGACGCGAGGGGGTTTTTGTGGTGAGGGTTTTGGCGAAAGATTCCGATTTCGCTTTTTTCGTTTTTTTTCGCCAAACCCAGCCCGCCCTCGTATTTCGCCCTGGGGGTTGGTTCAGTTCCCAAAAGTCCCAAATTGCAGGCACGCTTTTCTTCAAACCTTGAAAACACTAGTTCGTCAAGTTTTAAAAGCTTGACCCGCGCGGCCCGCAATTTGGGACTCGGGCTTTAAAGAATCGTGGAAAACACGGAATTACAAAAATGGGTTCCACCAAACCTTGTAAGGGTGACAACTTCACATTTCGGTTCTCGGGGCTCTCCAGGTGCCACGTGAGCGGCTCACAGCCACGCCTCTGTTATCCTCGGGAGACCACAATGCCCGAGGGTGACGTGGAAAGGCTCCCTACATGACCCTCTCGTACCAAATCCCTTTGGAACTGCACTTTCGGGAACAGCATTTCAGTCAACCACATGCCCAAAAGAACATGGAACAACCGTAGCAGTTGTTCGCAAAACAGCAGCCTTCATTTACATCTCCAACGCGACCTCGTCCGCCATGGCTGCCCTCGCTCAACCCGCCGCGCTGCAGACTAGCTGGCCGCAGCCTCTTCTAGGAGGGCGTCGCCTATTGGCTGCACGCCAGGTAGACCACCATCGCTTCGTTCAGCTCCCGTCGTGCTCCCGCTGCATCATGCTGTCTCAATTATTCGCTATCTAGCTCCTTCACTCGGATCCCGGCTTTTCTCTCGTGGCAGGTGAAGGTGGCGGTGCGGCCGCTTAATGCGCGGAGCGGCAGGTCGGCGGCAGCGCCGGTGACGAGGGCGTCCGCCATCATGGACTACGTCTCCGACATGAGCCGCGCCGGTACGCTGAGACCCGCGCAGGTAGGGCGTGACATGAGCCGCGCGAGTAGGATGTGACCCGCGCCGGTACGATATGACCCGCGCAGGTAGGGTATGAGACGTGCGGGTTGGACATAAGCCGCGCGAGTAGGATGTGAAGGATGCAAGCCGCGCGGGTAGGATGTGAGCAGCGTGGGTAGGGTACGAGCCGCGCGAATACGTTTCAAATTGAGCTGGTGCAGTATAAGCCGAACAGGCGCGGTATAAACACAGTGAGTACGGTACGAGCAGGGTTTTTCGAATATTCAAAATTCTAAAACAAGTGGCCAGTGGGTACGCACTGCTGCGACGCCTCTAGTCGAATTTGTGATGACTCCGCGGCGTTGCTGTTCCGCACGCCGCCCAGAATCTTAGTGTCTCGCTGCATTTTGTTTGAGTCCTGTTAATTCCCTCGCCTCTCGCCTCTCCCCCCCTCGGTGCGCGGCAGCGCCCAAGGGGCTATTCCCGCCGGAGCCGGAGAAGTACACGGGGCCGAAGCTCAAGGTGGCCATCGTGGGCGCGGGGCTCGCCGGCATGTCCACCGCCGCCGAACTGCTGGACCAGGGCCACGAGGTGAGCTACTGGACCAGGGCCACGAGGTGAGCTACTGGACCAGAGCCATGAGGTGAGCTGATGAAATGTCGGGCAAATCGAAGGCTGAACCGATTGCGCGGAACGGCTGTTGTTGCTGTAATCCACTTCTCCAAAAGCAAGCACGGCGCATGTGGTGTGATCTCTCTGTAGCGTGGCGACCTTTCTGATTCAAGTTGCTCGAACCAGTTTCTCACGCTAATTACAAATTTCCACATGCCATACGCGGGAATGCGCCGGATGTGCGCGGGGGATGCGCGTGCATGGGGGATGTGCGTGCGTGGGCGGTGTGCGCGGTGCGTGTGTGGGGGGCGAGCGTGGGGGCGAGCAGGTGGACATCTACGAGGCGCGGCCGTTCATAGGCGGCAAGGTGGCGAGCTTTCAAGACAAGGACGGCAACCACATCGAGATGGGGCTGCACGTCTTCTTCGGCTGCTACAACAACCTCTTCCGCCTCATGGCCAAGGCAAGCGCACAACAACCTCTTCCGCCTCATGGCCAAGGCAAGCGCACAACAACCTCTTCCGCCTCATGGCCAAGGCAAGCGCACAACAACCTCTTCCGCCTCATGGCCAAGGCAAGCGCACAACAACCTCTTCCGCCTCATGGCCAAGGCAAGCGCACCCCCTCTCGCCTCATGGCTGAAACGCTTCCCTTGTCACCATTGGGAAGCGAACAAAATTCATTTGCATGTGCCCCTCCCGTGGTCCGTGGCATGCACAGAGCGGGGCGGTGAACAACCTGCTGCGCAAGGAGCACACGCACGTCTTCATCAACAAGGGCGGCGTCACTGGCGGTGAGCCCCGTGCTGCCGTGGTTTGGTTAAATGGAGAAACGGTTTAGGACATTACGCGCGCCTCCTCGCTCCTCGCTGCATATAGCTGGCTGGTTCCCTCTTGATTTCTCGTTTTATCCTCCCCTCACCGTCCCCCCATCCCGTTCCCCCACCCCACGTGACCACCTTGCATGGCATGGCATGGCATGGCATGGCATGGCATGGCGTGGCATGGCATGGCATGGCATGGCATGGCATGGCATGGCATGGCACGGCACGGCATGGCATGGCATGGCATGGCACGGCACGGCATGGCATGGCATGGCATGGCATGGCATGGCATGGCATGGCATGGCGTGGCGTGCGCAGAGCTGGACTTCCGGTTCATAACGGGGGCGCCCTTCCACGGGCTCAAGGCGTTCTTCACCACCAACCAGCTCTCGGTCAGCCGCCCCTCTCGCACCCCCTGTATCACCACGCCTTTCTCTCTTCACGACTCGCTGAATGCTGCTGGTCATCCTGAAATGCACCCCTTGATACTCCGATAGAGCTCCACTCCAGTGAGGCTGCACGCTGGCAGGCACTTCTGGCTCGCTCCATGATATGCAATGCTTTGGCTTTGCTGATAAGTTCCCCATCACATCACATGGTCACCCATGCCTCCCCCCTGCGCTCCTCCCATGCACGCGCCATGGGTGTGCAGCCGGTGGACAAGGCGTTCAACGCGTTGGCGCTGGCGACGAGCCCCGTGGTGCGCGCGCTGGTGGACCCCGAGGGCGCCTTCCAGGACATCCGCGACCTCGACAAGGCACGCCCCACCCCTCCCTCCCCCACGTCGCCCCCTCCTTCCCCCTCCCTCCGTCTCCATACCCCACCCACCCACTCGTACCCCCACCTTGCTGAGAGAGCCATGCTTCTTTGCATTCCATCCACCGTTTCAGTAGCTGTCATTTCTGTCTTGCACAGACCTCATCTGCCTGTGCTGCCCTGCTGCTGCCCCCGCTGTGCTGCCCCATTGTGCTGCGTGGGGGCGAGCAGGTGAGCTTCAGCGAGTGGTTCACGTCGCACGGAGGCACGCGGGAGAGCATCAAGCGCATGTGGGACCCGGTGGCGTACGCGTTGGGGTTCATAGACTGCGACAACATCAGTGCGCGCTGCATGCTCACCATCTTCGCCTTCTTCGCCACCAAGACCGAAGCCTCCGTGCTGCGCATGCTCTGCGGCTCGCCCGACCGCTTCCTTGCTGGTCCCATCGCCAAATACATCACCGACCGCGGGGGGAGGTGAGCCAAATACATCACCGACCGCGGGGGAGGTGAGGCACATGCACTCTGAGAATGTGAAGGGAAATTGTGAAAATTTCAACAATCCTAAAACCTCAGCTGGGAGGTGTCAGGGAGGGGATTTTAAGCAAGCAAGCGCCTTGCCATTTTCACCCAAACAACAGTCGCTGCCATGCCGAATCATGGCACTTACGTGATGTTTACTCAGAATTCTACTAACATTGGAAATCCGAAAATTGAAAATGGATGGAAAGAGAAGGGCACGCGTTGGGGCGGTGGGGAGGTTGACCTGGGGAATGTGAGGGGGGGGGGGAGTTGGCAGGGGAGCATGATGAATGGTGTGGCTGGCTTTGATCTCACCCCCCACTGCCATGTATGCGTGGCCACCCCCGCCCCGCCCACCGCCCCACTTTGCGCCCGGCCACCCCATGTGGTGTGCGAGAGCAGGTTCCACGTGCGGCAGCCGTGCCAGGAGGTGCTCTACTCCACCGCCGCTGATGGCTCCACCGTCGTCACTGGCCTGCGCATGAAGCAGGTGACGGGGGGATGGCCGTGAAGCATGTAGGAGAGGGGGGGGGGAGGTGGGTTTCAGAATGGGCAGGAGTATGCAGTGGGGTGATGGAGTCGCTGTAGAGTTTCATGCTAACTGTGCTCCTCACTGAGGCTATCAGCCCTTGTGCACAATCTTTCCCGTTCATATTCCCTGGTACCTGCTCTGCTGTGCGTGTGTGGTGGCAGGCGGGAGGCAAGGAGCACATAGTGACAGCGGATGCGTATGTTGCTGGTGCGTGCATGGGAGGCAGGTAGGGCAGGTGGGCGCAGTGGAACGAAATGGACTGCTTGTCTGGAGTCTGGGGTAGGGTTTGCTGCTGGGGGGTGAAAAGGGAACTTGCATTTCAAAAAGCGAGTATTAGACGATGAATGCGTGCTGCCATTGAAGCATATGGTAGTCGGATTACGAGGTGCCTCAGATTCGAGCATACCGTGGTCACCATGCATGCATGCATGCATGCACCTGACCTTGCCTCGGTATTCTGCGACAGCTTTCTCCTGCGCTCTCATGCACACCCCCATTTCCTCCCCGTCTTTCCCCCAACAGCGCTGGACGTGCCGGGGGCGAAGAGGCTGGTGCCAGCGGAGTGGAGGGAGCGGTGGGCGCAGTTCAGGGACATCTACGAGCTGGTGGGTGTGCCCGTCATCACCGTGCAGCTGCGCTATGATGGCTGGGTCACCGAGATGAACGACATTGAACTCTCCAGGTGCGCCCTCTGCCCATTGCTGCCCCTCCTGCACTCTCCGCCCCGTTTGCATCGCCCTCCTCATCATTCACGTGCAGCCAGACTTTCATCATACCGCCAACCTACTTACCCCTCACCCTTCCACTGCTGCCCTCTGCTCCTGTTCTCTCTTCTTTCGCCCTCCACCAGGCAGCTGGCGCTGGCAGCGGGGTTGGACAACCTACTCTACTCGCCCGATGCGGACTTCTCGTGCTTTGCTGACCTGGCGCTCACCAGCCCTGACGACTACTACAAGGAGGGCCAGGGCTCGCTCATGCAGTCAGTGCCCCTCCCCTTGCTCACCCCCCAACCCGCCTGCTCCTGCCTTGCGCATCCTCACCATGTGTGCTTGATTGCTGTGCCGGCCATGCTGAAAAACACTTGTTACGACACTGCTAGTTCTCCCTTCGTCCATTTCTCACATGTCCTCCTCGTTCCACACCTCTCCCATCCATTCGTTTTCCCTCCAACCAATCACATACTCGCCAACTTGATTTCTTCTCATCCTGGTAACCTCTTCCTCTCCTCTGCTCGCCCCCGTGCTGCTTGGATTGTGTGGTGGCACGGCAGGGTGGTGATCACCCCGGCGGACCCCTACATGCCAATGACCAACGAGGCCATCGTCGCCAAGATGAACCAACAGGTGAAACATACAATACGACCGCTGCCGTGGATTCCACTCCTGCTAGTACTCAGGGGGATGCCTCAATGCACAGTCTCGATGCACAGTCTCGATGCACAGTCTCGATGCACAGTCTCGATGCACATGCCTCAGTACACATGGCTCCATCCACATTCTCCAATCCACATTATTATGATTACCATGGCTCAAATCAAATGCGTCATGTCTCACACCTCAATCTGCATGCGTTCCCACTGCCTGTCCCTTTCCACCCACCTCCTCACCACCTCCTCCCCCCTCCTTCCCCCTCGCCTGTCCCCTGCTTCTACCCCTCCCTCCCCCCTGTGTTCCGGCCAGGTGATGGATCTGTTCCCATCGGCGCGCGGCCTGACGCTGCTGTGGCACTCGGTGGTGAAGATCAACCAGTCGCTGTACCGTGAGGCACCCGGCCTCGACCAGTTCCGCCCCGACCAGAAGACCCCCGTCCCCAACTTCTTCCTCGCCGGCTCCTACACCAAGCAGGTAAAGCCCTCCTCCCCTCCCCCCCCCCCCCCCCCCCCGTGTTCCATTCTATTCGTGGGCCCGGTCATCTGGTTGCTTTACCCATCCTTACTTCTGTAATCTACCAGATCCCCTTCACATCCACCTGTCACATCCTCCTCTCACATCCCCCTCTCACACCCCCCTCGCATCATCCTCTCACAATCACTTATCCCCCTTGGCACTGGCAGGACTACATAGACAGCATGGAGGGCGCCACGCTGTCAGGCAGGAGGGCAGCAGCGCGCATCTGTGAGGCGGGGGAGACCATTAGCGCACTCGCCTCCCAGCAAAGAGCACAAGCCCCCGCTGCTGCCGTCTGACCATGTCTAGCTCCTACTAGTGCCTTGTTGTAACCACATGATAAGTGCTAGATATTGTTTTACTACCTGTGCTTGTGTTTGTGTTTGTCTTGGCTGCTTGTAAGTATTTGTGGCACCTTCATACACAATCTTGTCCGTCACATGGGTTTCCTTACCCAGAAAAGCAGCCGTCTTACAAAGGCTGAAAAAATTAGAACGAATATATCGATTTCCAGTTTTATGCAGTGTTTTATAGAGATTGCTTCTCTGTAGGCCACATAATGCAAGTTTTATTACATTTTAACATTCGCACACTTCACCATTGTATGGTCTATTGTATTCACCTTGTAATGAGGATACTTGCGTGGGAGGTGAATTCGCCCAATATTGCGGCGTCCTCCGCCCCGATCGTTCTGATCGTTACGATCAACCCGCCGCGATGTTGGGCTCCGCCCACCCCGCCCATCGCGCCGTCGTTTTGCGCCGCCCAGCCACCTCCGCCGTCCTCTCCGCCGTTCTCGCCCGGGGGACCCTTCCTCCGCCATTGGCCCCTGTCGCGCGCTCCCCATCCGCTCCCCACGCGCCCCCACCATGCGCGCCTCCGCCCCAGTTTGCCCACCGCCCGCCTCCGCTTGCCCGGAGTGATTCGCAACGGGCAGGCGGGGACGTATGCCGCGGGTTGCCCCGCCCGCGCGTGCCGCTCCGCAGCGTCATCCGCGAAGGATGGTTGCTCTCCGCGGCTTGGCGCGCAGGCAGCGAGAGCCGGTGGCGGGGCTTTGTGGTGGGCGCGCGGGTGGCGCAGAGGGTGGCGGAGTCGTCAGGCGCTGGAGCACGCGCAGCAGTGATGGGGGAGAGCAGGGGAGAGGGGGAGGAGAGGTGGCGCGGTGAAGGGGTGGCAGTGGGTGGGGCGGAGAGGGAGGTGGGGGGCGAGGGTGGAGCGAGTGAGCAAGTGGTGTTCGTACGTGCTCCGCGCCCTCCGCTTCCTCCCATGCATCATGGCCCACTGCATGGCTGCATATAAAAGCTCCTATCATTCTGATTGGTCGCCTCTCTGCGCCTGTCTGTCCTGCATGCACACCTTACCCTCTCATGCATGATCTCATTCTAGTTGCTCTGCATCACACGCCTCACCTTGCCTCGTCTCCTCTCCTCCTCTCCCTCTGCGCTCCGTGCCCACCTTGCCAGGACCCCCCAGCCCTGCCAGCAGCGTTTGAGGGGGTGCAGCGGTGGGTGGTGTTCTCGGACCTGCATGTGTCTCGCCGCAATGCAGAGCTGTGTGCTGCGCTGCTCACCCACGTGCACCAGCTCGCCAAAGACAGGTGCGCGCCGCAGCAGTGTGGGCGGTTGAGAGCATGGCGGAACTCGCATGAGCGTGGAGGTGCAGGTGCCTGCACAGATGTGCACTCAGCGTTGCTTTCTTCCATGGCACACTACCTCACCTTGTGTTTCCATGGCATGGCACGGCAGGGCGGCAGGCGTGGTGTGTCTGGGCGACTTCTGGCACGTGAGGGGGTCGCTGCCAGTGGAGGCACTCAATGCTGTCATGCACGCCATGGGGCCTGCCGTGTGGACTCAGCCCACCATCATGATTCCCGGCAACCATGACCAGGTGCCCCCTCCACCTCGTGTCCCCACCACACCATCTCGCTTCTACTTACTGCTCCTCTCATCCGCATTCCTCCCTTTCCCCGTTTACTTTCCTCCTTGCCATGATCCAGCCTCCACTCCCCTCACCATGCACACATAGATGCCACTCTCCCTCGCCCCCCCACCAGGTGTCAGTGGACGGCACACAGCATGCGTTGGCAGTGCTGCCGCGCATCAATCCGCACATCGTGGTGCTCTCGCGCCCCACCGTGCTGCTCGCCGCCCTCTGGCTGCCCTTCCGCCACCACGCGCCCCTCCTCACCTCCGCCCTGCACCAAGCGCTGCACTTCCCCCCGCCCTCCATCCCCCCCATCCGTGCCGTCTTCATGCACGCGGACGTGGAGGGGGCGCGGCGCAGCAGCACAGAGGGCGCAGTTACCCTGCCAGGCGAGGGGCTGGACCCGCTGCTGCTGCCTGCCGGCCTGCCCGTGTACTCGGGCCACCTGCACCTGCCGCACACTGTCTCCAAGGGCGGGCGCGCTGTGCACTACGTGGGGTCGTGCGTGCAGCACAGCTTTGGCGAGGCGGGGCAGAGCAAGCGGGCTATGATGCTGCAGGCGGGCACGTGGGAGCACGTGGAGGACATCCCTCTGGACGTGGGGCCACGGCACTTCATCATCCCCGCTGCTGCTGCTTCAGCCTCGCAGCCCGGTGAAGGTGAAGGTACATCGGAGCCGCAGGCAGGCGAGGCGTGGCAGCAGGTGGTACCACTGCTGCGGGCGGGCGACCTGGTGCGGTGGGAGGTGCCTGGTGGGGCGGACGCCAAGCAGACGAGAGAGGCACTGGTGAGGCGCACACCCGATTCCTGGCACCGCCCGCCCGTCACATGCCCCATGCCACTGCTCACCTCTGCACACGTGGTCATGCCACAGGTCGCAGGGCGCTCTACCCCAACCATTCGCTTCTCGTTTCCTTCCCCGCCCACCCTTCCCTGCAGGCGAGCTTGCGTGCCACGGGCGCGTTGGTGCAGACGGTGGCATCACAGGCGCTCTCCCGCCCTCCCCGCATCCTGCAGGCCGACACTCTGGTGGGTGGTGCACGTGCACGTGGGTGGTGGGTGGGGGGGGGTAGTGTGAGCGCGGATTGACACAGGGTTGTGTGGGCAGGGTGAGGAAAGAGAGAGACAGGGTGGGGTGAGCAAGGCGCGCAGACAGGGATGGGATTCAACCTCCCCCCATCATCTCATTTCTGCAACTCTCCGTTCTTTTTAATCTCCATCAGTAATCTGCCTCTCGTTCCAACATTGACCCCCTCACCTTGTCTCTCCCAGGAGCCTTCACGTGTGTTTGCCAGCTACGCCACGGCCGCCCATCTGCCGCCACCCGTCGTGTCTGCCGCCCAAGAGTTGCTCAAAGACCTGGATGTGCCGCCCCGACTCATGCACACCACCACTGGTGAGGCTATGATGGGCTGGAAAAATGGGAGCAGCGCCGCCAGAATGCCATAGCTGCCTGAGAGGCATTTTCCGAGTCAGCCGCTCATCTCTTACCGTGGCCCTCTCTACTCCCTTCTTCTCTCTCTTTTCCTAATTCCCTCCTCTTTCATTTGCCTTTCCTCTCCATCATCTTTGCCATTCATAACCCGCCTTCTTTCCCTCTCTCCACTTCTGCTCATTCTTCCTCTCTTCCCAAACACGTGCCTCTGCCTGTCACCCACCCCACCCCCCAGCGCACGTGTGTCTAGATGCAGTGCATCTGAGTGGCTTCGGCCCCTTCCTCGCGCCCACCACCTACCCCCTCGCTGCGCGCGGCATCGTGCTGCTGTGCGGCCGCAACGAGGCAGCGGGGGGGGCAGCGGGCGACAGCAACGGGGCGGGCAAGACGTCCCTGGCCATGGCGGCGCTGTGGGCGCTGACGGGCAGCATGGACGCGCGCCCTGACTCCCGCCACGGGCTGCGCATGGCTGATGTCGTGCACCGCAGCGGACAGGGGGACGGGGGCGAGGGAGACGCGGGGGAGGGGGGCGAGGGGAAGGGGCGTGCGAGGAGGAGGAAGGGGGAAGGCGGTGGGGTGGCGCGCGTGCGGGTGGAGGGGAGGGTGAATGGCAAGGCGTTTGTGGTTGAAAGGGAGGCGTCCAGGTGAGCTGGGAAGGAAGGAAGGAAGCTATGGTGCTCAGATGAGAGAGAAAGAGCGCGATAGGTGTTGAAGAGGGGCAAGGCCGTGACGGCATGCCCACCGCTGTTTTATCCTCCACGCTTCTCCTTCCACACTCCCTCCCGGAACATCGCCCACTCTGCTCAATTATCCTCGCATAATCTTTCCCCCCTTCTGCCTTCGTCCCTGCTTCCTCTCCCTCTGTGCGCCCCTGGTGCCTCTGCAGCCGGCGGTCGGCGTTGCGGTTTGAGGTGGATGGGGAGGACCAGACGTGCCAGGAGATCAGACTCACACAGGAGAGGATCGACGCCCTCATGTGAGCTCATGTGCCCTGCTCTGCTGTCATGTGCAACTGTCTGTGGCTAGATAAGCACGCCTTATGCAATTTATTGATGAGGGCTGTGTGTTGCGTTGAATTCGGATGCACCCGTGTGCGTGCATGTGCGCATGTGTGTATGCATTTGTGCGTGCATGTGCGCATGTGTGTATGCATTTGTGCGTGCATGTGCGCATGTGTGTATGCATTTGTGCGTGCATGTGCGCATGTGTGTATGCATTTGTGCGTGCATGTGCGCATGTGTGTATGCATTTGTGCGTGCATGTGCGCATGTGTGTATGCATTTGTGCGTGCATGTGCGCATGTGTGTATGCATTTGAGCGTGCATGTGCGCATGTGTGTATGCATTTGAGCGTACATGTGCTCATGTGTGTATGTATGTGTGTGTGCATGTGCGGATTTGTGTATGCATGTGTGCGTGCATGCATAATTGCATGAGTGCATCCATGCGTGTGTGTCTGTGTGCATGTGTGCATAATCCACATGGTTTTGCATGTGTGTGCATGAGTGTATGCTTGTGTGCAAGCGTGTGTGTGTGCATAAGTGTGTGCATGCGTGTGTGCAATTGTGCGAGCGTGTGTGTGTGCATGCATGTGTGCATGTTTTTGTGCATGTGTGTGTGCATGCGTGTATGCATGCATGTCTCATGTGTGTGTGCATGTGTGCATGTGTGTGTGCATGTGTGCATGCGGTGCATGCATGCGTCCATGTGTGTATCCATGGGTGCACATAATGCACATGTGCGACAGGGACACCTCACTCCTTTCCCGAACAGTCTTCTTCGGACAGCACTCCACAGCTGCGCTGCTCGAAGCCAACGACGCCGACTTCAAGGCACATGCCAAGCCCTCCCCTCCCTTTGCACTCTTCATCTCCCTTCGCTCCCCTCCTGTCCAATTCCCGCTGCTGTTTTCTCGTCTTCCCTTATTTCTACTCCGTGCTTCCCTCCCATGCTTCCATATCTCCACATTATTCTCTTCCCTCACGCGCTTTTTCTCCCCCACTGCCATTTGTTCTTGCCCAATCAAATCATGCTGCCTTCCTTATCTCTACCACCCTTATACGCCCCTCCCACTCTCCAATCAACCCACCTCCATGGCTCACCCATCTCTCTCGTTCTTCCTCTTGTGCCCCTCGCCTCTCCCACCTCTCTATGTCCCTCTTTCACGCGCCCCTGCGCGCCCCTCTACTGGCCGGCAAGCGCCAGGCGGAGCTGAGTGCGGTGGTGGGGATGGACGTGTGGGGGGCGGCCAGGGCGCGCAGCAGGGACGCCGTGAGGGCGCTGCAGGCGCAGATGGGGGAGATGACGGGCGGGCTGGCGGCACGCAGGGAGGCCGTCAAGAAGCTCCAGCACATGGTGGGGAAGGGAGAGCGGGGACGGAAGTGAGCATCTTTGAGAGTGAGCTTGGTCCTCATCGCGTCCCTCGTCACACCTCATCTTACGTGGCTGTTGAGTGATTTCAATACATCCGCATGCGCCTGTTCCCTCACGTGCCACTGCCCTCTGTGGTGCATCACATGACTCCCTGCCATGGTATGGTGCTCCCGCTCCCATCACCACATATCAGGTGGATGAAGCCGAGGGTGCCTTCAACACTTGGGAAGAGCACAGGTGCCCCATGCCACATGCCCTGCCCTGCCATGCCATGCACTTGTTTCTCTTTCACGGCCCACTCTCACCATGCTTTCTGCGCCACCTGCATTATTTGCTCGACTTGCTTATGCGACGCTTCAAAAGCCTCATTGCTCGACGTGCAATGCTCCTGCGTAAACGCTCTGTGGGGCGGCCTGTCTTGAAAGGGCGGTCTCTAGTGGGATGAGTCAGGGCGTGCTGACGCTGCCACCATTCCAGCGTCCTCACCTGCCCGTCCCATCCACGCGCCCACCACCAGGGCGGCACGGCAGCAGCGAGTGGGTGTGCAGCAGCAGCAGGCGGAGCAGCAGCTGGCAGCAGCCTGCCAGCACCTGGCATCAAGTGTGGCTCCGCGCCTGCAGGCCGCCGTCGCCCTCTCGCACTCCCACGCCCTCGCCCTGCACTCTGCCGTGCTCGCCTCCCTCTCAGGGGGGGAGGCGCAAAGGGTCGAGGGTGCAGGTGGGGGAGGAGTGGGTGGAGCTAGGGCAGGCAGGGGCGAGGAGGAGGCGGGTATGGAGGAGAGGGAGCGAGCGCTGATGACTGGGATCGCATCCCTGCAGGGGGAGGTGGGTGCGAGGGAGGAGCAGGTGGATGGACGGGGTTTGATAGGAGAGTTTGATGGTTGCGTGCTGTGTTCAGAACTTGCCAGACTACAGACACGCAGGAAGAAAAGGCTCATATTCCTGTAGTGGCTCCTGCCCCGCCCCTGCACCAGCTTTTCCTTCCACCCCTTGATGAGGTGCCTGCATTCTCCCTTCCTTCTACCTGGTTTCCCCCTTCCCTCTGCAGCTGACAGCGGTGCGAGCAGGGCTGGGGGAGCAGCAGCAGCGGCTGGGGGAGTTTGAGGCGCACGTGGGGGGGGCGGTGGGGGGAGGGGAGGTGCTGGTGTGTGACAGGTGTCAGCAGCCCATTGATCCGCTGCATGCAGAGGAGTGCAGCAGGCAGCTCAGGGCGGAGGTGGAGCAGACGCAGCGACAGCTGGCAGCCAAGCAGGAGGTGGGTTTATTGTTGTGTCCTTTGTTACGCCCTTGTTGAGCTTGTCTCCTTTTTAATAGTCCGTGTTTTTTCTGTTTGTCGCCATCATGCTTTGCCTAGTTATTGTGTGCAAACCCAACGTCTTATGTTTCATATTAGTTCAGAGCTCACCACAAGTTTCGCAGTCGTAGTATCAAGCATAACAAATCACACAGATCACTTCCCTCGCTCTCCCATGTGTTGTGCCTCTCGTGCACCTCCCTGGCTGGCAGGCACAGGAGGAGCTGCAGGGGGAGCTGGTGGGCGTGCGGGAATGGCTGGAGGCGCGGCGGAGGGAGAGACGGGAGAGCGAAGAGAGGGAAGCGCAGGCGAGGAGGCAGCAGCAGCAAGCGGCCATGGCACAGCAGGAGGAGGTGCGTGCTGGGTGCACCATAGTGTTTCTGGCTGGCATCGTGACTCATGAGTTGTGATACCATTCGACAGCTCATGCTCTGCGTCCCGCGGCACATCAGTCACCCTGTGCCTACAACCTCACCACGCCACACCTTCATCACCAACACCACATTCATCTCTCTGCACCATCTCCGCCCCATCTTCCCACACCACCCCCTCCCTCTTTTCTTCCCTCTCATTTCCTTCCGTCCAGCTGAAGGCAGTGCAGCGCTACACAGCAGCGGCCTCCCAGGCCCTCGACTCTCTGCTGCTCTTCCTGGATCGCCACTCTGCCCTCCTGCGCGCCACACCACCATGGCCCTCCCCCTCTGCCCCCACCGCGGGCCTCGATGCCGAGGGAAGCGGGGCATGGCGGCAGGAGGCGGTGGCAGCGGTGATCCGCGAGGCGGGAGAGGCGGTGGTGGCGGGGGAGGCAGCGCAGGCGGAGGTGGAGCGGTGGCGCAGGGAGGCGGAGAAGGGGCGGGCGGAGGGCAACCCGCATGAGGGGGAGCGGCGCCGGCTGGTGCAGATGCTGGGGGAGGCCAGGGGGGAGGTGGAGGCGGTGGAGGGGGAGGTGGATGCGGGGGAGGCGCAGCTGGACGTCATGAAGCAAGTGGACGCCGCCTTTGGGCTCGCTGGCGTGCAGGTGGGGTGTGGTGGGGTGGGGTGGGGCAGTATGAAGAGCGAAGGCATGCGGGTTCTAGTCTCGAGTGACCACAGCTCACAACTCCTTCTCCTCTTCCCCTCCCCTCCCCCGTTCACTCCCACTCCTTCTCCCCTTCCCTCCCCCCCCCTTTCGCAGAGCTATGTGTTGGAGGGAGCGCTGTGGGAGCTGGACGCGCACGTGGCGCGCTACCTCGCTGCGCTCTCAGGGGGTGCGCTGCACCTGCACCTCTCTCCCACGCGCGCTGCTGCCACTGTCACCAAGGCCACCCGGGGGAAGAAGTCAAGGAAGGCCAGTGGGGCGGGGAAGAATGGCGCGGCGGGCAGCGGCACGGACTCTGGCGCGTCGAGCGACAGTGGGGGAAGCGAAGGGGGGGAGGGGGATGAGCAAGGGGCAGCAGAGGAGGAGGGCAATATCAGCGACGGGGTGGGGCAGGTGTTGGAGCGGATAGACAAGAGTGTGAGCGTGCGCCTGGCGTCGGGTGAGCTCGTCCCGCGGGCGCTGCGCCAGCTCAGCGGTGGGGAGCGGCGCCGTGTAGCACTGGCGCTTGCGCTGGCGTTTGCGGAGCTGGCGGCGGAGCGCAGTGGCGTGCGCTACGACCTGCTGGTGCTGGACGAGGTCTTCCAGGCACGCTGCTACTGCCCCCCCTCCCCTCCACCCCATGTGCTGCTTTCTGCCTCTTCATGTGCTCCTCTATCTGCCCACCCTGTGCTATCCCTTCCTTTCATGTGTCTCCATGTACTCCTTTATCCTCATCTCTCATGGCTCCCAGTGTGTGCCTCTATCTGCGTACCTTGAGCTCCCCCTGCCTCATATCCTTGTGCTGCGTGCATGCATGCTGCATCACTGTCGTGCTCAATGGATCCCGTCCCAACTCTTGCGTTCCTCTACCCTCCCCTTGGCCCACCTTCTCCTCCTTCCAACAGCATCTGGACGACGAGGGAGTGGCAGCAGTGGCGGCGGTGCTGAGGGCGCTACCACAGCGAACGGTGGTGGTGGTGTCGCAGGCCAACAGCCGCGAGGCGCTGGCAGAGTTTGGCGTGGTGGACTGGGTGGTCAAGAGGAACGACGTCGCCACTGTGGAGCTCGCTCACATGTAGCGCCGTGCCAGGCACTGGCCTGCTTGCACTGGCTCGTTGGAGACATAAAATAACCTTTCCATCCAAGCCGTGTTTGGACACTTGATGCTGTGTAATGAGGCATTGAGTTTTTGAGTTTGAAGCACACGTCCATCAGCGCGAGGGCTCTTAACACCGAGAGCTTGTTGATAGACTTCGCATTGGCATGTACTCCGTGCGTCCTCTCCATTGAGGCTCTGGTGCTGCTCCTGCACAGCCCACTGTCCGGCTGGTGAGCAAGAATGCATGAGTGGAGTGGTGGTGCACAGCCCCTCCATTCTGATCTCCACTCTTGCTGGCACCACAATAGCTTGAGAAATTCCCAAGGAACGCCATGCTATGCCTCTACAAGACGTGGTGAAGCACATCGATGCTGCCACCGAGAGCTTGCAGGGTTGTGGCTGCAGCGGCATGTGATGTGATCAGTGTGTCCACTCTGACAGAATGCCGTCTGTGTTGCTGCACAACACAGCCCACTTCCCCCCACTGGCTGGCGTGGATCGAGCAGTTAAACACTGCTGAGTGTGCCCCACAACGCTCATCCCCATCACAACTGACATGGGTCAGCCACAAGCTGCCAGTACAACTGAAACATGAAGCCAGCAGCAGGCTGTTGGGCCATATTTCAAGCAACACTCCTACGGTACCTGCTTCAACAAACTGGAGAAGCTATTTTCTGCTGTCCTTGTGTGGGAGCTTCCACTTCAGGCTGTCTCCAATTCGTTGCGAGTTGCAGGAGATTTAGAGGTGGTTGGTCTGAGAAAGAACCCTGGAACGTGGTGCATAAATATTGTTACGTACCAGGCAAACAGATACAGATACAGTAGTGCAGCTCTTGGGCTTGGCCACTCAGCAAAGGGCTCAGTGCGATGAGGAGCTTGACACATTTTACTCAACTTTCTTTCATACAATTGAACAATCTGCCCACAGGCTTCAACTCAACAATCAGCGCGTGCCGCACGTCTGCTTGGAACCTTGCTTGCCAACTCCCATGCTAGCACGATCATCTCTTATCGCTTCTTGCTCTCTGCTGCCTTCTTCTTTTTCCTCTTAACAGCTTTGGGCACCTTATCAAGTCGAGCCACTCGCTTCTCCTCCTTCACCTTCTTCTTGTTCTCCTTGCGCGCCGCCCTCACCTCCTCCTTGCTCACTGCTCCCCCCTTGCCCCGCCTTCCGCCCTCCTCCTCGCCTCCCTCATCCTCTGACAGGTCACTTCCCTCCTCACTGCCCTCCTCGCTCTGCTGCTCCTGCCCGCCCTCCATCCCCTCTGCCCCCCCACGCTGCTCGCAGGGCACCACCGCCGCGCCACCCCTGTCACTCTCTCTGCCATCCTCCCCGTCATCCCCCTCTCCTCCGCCCCTCACTGCCCCTGACCTCTCCTCGCCCTGCTCCCCACGCCCGTGCCCGCCATCACCACCGCCCCTGCCTGCCGTGGCATCGCCGTGCTCCTCTTGAGCCTGCAGAATGTCGGGCAGGGTGCGCACGCCAGAGAGGTCGGCCTTGAGCCCCAGCAGCGACGGGTAGAAGATGCCCTCCAGAGGGGGGGCCACCGATGACAAGGCCGCTTCATTGCCGCCGCTGCCGCCACCTGCTGCACCCGCTGCTGCACCGGTTGCTTCCCCTCCGTGTGCCACAGCCTGTTGTGTCTTGCTGGGTGTGGCTGCCTGCTGCTGTGCTGCTGCTTTGGTGGCGGAGGCGATGCGGCGGATGTCCTTCTCGGCGTCCTTCACCTGATCCAACGACTGCGGTATGAACGACTGTTGGGGGCGCAGCACGGGGGAGGAGGAACGGGGTCGGGTGGATTGGAGGGATGTGAGGAGGTGACTGGCTGAACAATTGATGCATGGAGAGGTGAAGGATGTAGGACCAGGCAGGTCAAGAAACCATGAGGTCACAAGGACAGACTCGACCACCAGTTCACTTGTGCATGCCTCCTCGTGTAATGGATGTGGAAACTCGGTGCAAGAAAATGCGTTGCTGCTGATGTGCAATGCAGTGGGAGTGGAAGGGCGGCGGTGGGAGTGGAAGCGCTGACCTGCAGGAAGACGGCTTCAGCGATGGCCTCCTGCGCTGTGGGCTCCAACGGCCTGCTGGCTGCCCTCTCTTGAAGCTGCCCGTGCCATGCATGCACAGAGAGATGCAGAAAGAACAATGAGGCATTTCTTTGGTACACGCAGGGACTTGCACAGCATACAAAATGCTGGGGCAGATGAGGTCAACAGAAAACACATACACATGCACGCACAAACATGCCAACACACAGTTGCACGTGCTTGCCCCACCTTGTGCAGGCAGTCATCCACGAGGCTCTCCGGCATGACGGGGTCCGTGACAAAGTCAAACAGCTCCCTCACCGTCAGCACCGCCATGCCCTTGCGCCGGAAGAAATCCTGCCAGCATGTTTGGGACGATTGGGAGGAGATGGAACGATTGTGGGTTGCACGAGTGATCAGAAAAACGGGGCATGGGTGGGCACTTTGCTGCTGGCTTGTGCACTTCGCTGGGTGTTAAAGGCAAGGATGATTGGCTTGCAATGAGATGCACTCACAGTGACGTGCACTCACAGTGACGTGCAATGTGCTGCTCTCACAGTGACGTGCAGGCAGTCCTCTCGGAGGAAGTCGAGCGCCCTGGGATGGTCCAGATCCACCGACTGCGACACGTCTATCACCCACACCCGCCCCTGGTGGTTGGCACGGGGGAGGGGGCACAGTGAAGCCGGTTGTTGTAAGATATCATATAAGCAAACACATATACACACACACAATATACAGAAATATGAAAATAGTTCAACTACACATATAGAGCAGGTGGGTCGCACCTGCAGGTAGAGCAGGTTGTATTCACTGAGGTCGCACCTGCAGGTAGAGCAGGTTGTATTCACTGAGGTCGCACCTGCAGGTAGAGCAGGTTGTATTCACTGAGGTCGCACCTGCAGGTAGAGCAGGTTGTATTCACTGAGGTCGCACCTGCAGGTAGAGCAGGTTGTATTCACTGAGGTCGCACCTGCAGGTAGAGCAGGTTGTATTCACTGAGGTCGCACCTGCAGGTAGAGCAGGTCGCACCTGCAGGTAGAGCAGGTTGTATTCACTGAGGTCGCCGTGCACGAGGCGGCAGAGGCGGTACATGCGCCACATGGCCAGCACCACCTGCCCGTAGCACTCCCGCCACCGCCCCTCCGACAGCTGCACGTCCTTCAGCCTCGGCGCCCCCCACCCCTCCGTGCCTGCCGTGCAATACCGTGCCACCACATGTATGCCATTGCAACAAAGACCATGAAATGATTGAGCCAGAGCTTCCAATAACGTGCATAGCAACTGAAAGACTGCTGTGGGAGAGCTAGTGACAAGCATATAATCACAAGCAGGAGTATATCTCGAAGCTCAGGTTGAGCCAGCTTCAACCTTCAGACGCACCGATGAATGACATGACGAGCACATGCATGCGCAGCATGAGCGGCACTGGACATGTCACTCCTGCTGCCCGCAACCTGACACACGGCCGGACGGGAGGGTGGCAATGCGTGGAAAGAGTTAGCAGGGAGGAAGGGGGCGAGGGATGTGAAAGAGGGATGCGACAAGGGCCATGCGGCTGCTGTGTGAGGTCGCCCACGTGGCGCAGTGCCTGTGGGGTTTCACCGACACATGGAATGAGCAAGCATAACAGGAGAGGCAAGGCAAGGAAGCACAACCGCCAACACGGAGCAGCTTGCTTACCGGTTGAGGTTGCGGAACTCCTTCTCGGCCCAGACCTTGACCATCTTGCGCGGGTTGTGCTTGCTGTACCCGTGCCGGAACCGGTAGTCCCCCGCCACGTACCGCTCGCGGTCCCTACGCGTTAACACGGTGGCATGGGGGTGCGTGTGGGGGGTTCGGAGGGGGCAATGGTGGTAAGAGAGGGAGTGCACGAGGGGGAGTGCAAGAGTCAATGGCAACACAGGCATGGTGGCACATGAAGGGGCAGCACACTCACTTAAACACCAGGATAGACGTCTTGTAGACCTTCACTGCCAGCTCCTTCACGGGCTGCCCCTCGCCCCCCTCCTGCACGCCCGCCCCCTCTCTACCGCCCCCAATCCCCAGAGCAGCGGGCATGTGCAGCGCGGAGGGGCAGTCCACCGTGGCATGGTACACGTTCGCCTGGGGGGTGGAGGGATGGGGGAGGGCAGTCAGGGAGAAACAGGGGCGTGGCGTGATAGAGGATAGGGGATCAGATCAGGGTGGCAGGCGTGATGAGTGAGCAGGTGGGCAGGGTGGACGGGGATGGTGATTCTCATGGCATGGCACAGGCTGCAAAGGAAAGAGCGAGCGAAGGTGGAGCAGGCGTTGGTTTACCTCCTTGCCGGTTGAGAGGCAGCCGTTGATCTCACCTCCTTGCCGGTTGAAAGGCAGCCGTTGATCTCACCTCCTTGCCGGTTGAGAGGCAGCCGTTGATCTCACCTCCTTGCCGGTTGAGAGGCAGCCGTTGATCTCACCTCCTTGCCGGTTGAGAGGCAGCCGTTAATCTGGGAGAACACTCCGCGGTTGAGCATCTTGAACAGCACCATGCGCGTGCGCGGGTCCAATACCTGGGCGACAGAGGAAGGGCGCGTGAGGAAGGGAATAGACAGGGGAGGGGAATCGTTACATTGTTGGGTTGGATTGTAAGAACTAAGAAAGGGGCTTGAAAGAGGTTATGGAATCAGGTGGGGAAGACGAGGTGCAAGGAGGTGGGGAATGGAGGGGAGGGGAGGGGAGCATGGCACAAGAATGATAGGCAAGGGGGATGAGATGGGCGTGGGAAGAAGATTAGCGAAGTAGCGGTGCTTGGCGGAATGAAAACAGCTGTGAGGGGGGAAGCGGGAGCGTTTGAGAGAAACAAATGCTCGACTGTGGCGCCTCCCAGCCCCCTTTAAAATCACCTGCTCCACAGTGGCGCGGTCGGCCTTCTCCTTCACCCTTGATTGGCCCTGCTCCTGCCGCTTGTTCGTGTCGCGCACAGCTGTCATCACCACATTCGCCATATTCAGCTGACAGCTGTCGCCCCAATCCTGCCACATCAACATGCATCATCAAACAGGAAAACGACTAGTTAAGCGGTTGGCACGTTCACAGAGGGAGCGTAACACCCACGCCCCAATCCTGACACCCAAAACCCTAACTCGCATTAAAAGTGCAAGCCTACACCCTCACACTTAAACCCTGACCCTCGAGTGCAAAACCCCGACCCCCCAAGGGCAAGCCACGAGCCCTCACCCGCATGGGCGCGGCATTCACTCGCGCCGTCAGACGCTGCTGCTTGTTCACCCGCGGCTGCATCGCCCCCGCCGTCCCCCCCACTCCCGCTCCCCCTGCGCTGCCCTTCCCCGCGCCCCCAGACGCGGCTGCGCGGGCGTTCGCATGTGCTTGGTTCAGCTGCCCCCCGAAGGCGTTCGGCCGCCGCGCCGCGGAGAAACCGCCACCGAACGCGCCGCCACCAGTGTTTCCTCGCGATGCGAGGTCTGTGATGACGTGGACGAGGGAGAGAGGTAGCAACGGAGGAATGGCGGAGAGTGCGCGGGTGGAAGGATGGGGAGGGCAGGGTAGAGAGGAGAACGGGGGTTTCAACGCTGTGGATGACCGCCACGCTTTCAACGACACAAGGCGCTTAGTCACGCTTTTCTTGCTTTTAACAAATCATCTAGCTTCTCTCAGGTCTAACCAATCAGCTACCTCCTCCCAGAGCCAGCCAATCAGCTACATCCTCTCATCAGCCAATCAGCTATCTTCTTTCAGGTCCAGCCAATCAGCTACCTTCTCTCAGGTCCAGCCAATCGAGAGCGTCGAGCACCTCTTCTTCCACCTCGCCATCCTCTTCCGCCCAATCATCGTCCTCCACGTCATCCCCCTCGCCGGCGGCAGCGGAAGGCTGCGCGGAGTCGTCCGCGTGGAGGCGCGAGAGCGTGTCGAGCAGCAGCTGCTGCGACGCCGCCGACAGCGGCGCGTCCGACTCGCCGTCCGCATCAAAGCCGGCTGCCTCAACGGCTAGCGGGTCCGCTGCTGGCAAAGGGGACGGCGACGGTTCCATACGGCAGGTCATGCGGAGTCGATGGGAATAGAAGTGTGAATGCGAAGCGACAAGGCTCATTGAGGGTTGAACAGAATTTGGGGTTAGGAGTTTGCAGAGGTGTACGCCCTGACAAATTCTCGCGTGCTTCGTTTCCATATGTTTCTGTGAGGCAATGGATCTACCGTATGTCAAGTACTACAGTAGAAGAAATTTGTGAGCATGAGTCTCAAGTCTGGTTCTGCCTACAATAACGAATGAACAATGAATCCAGGGAAATGCAAGACCTTTTCTGATACATTTCATTCCATACGCCACAACGACCAAGATGCATGCAGTGACGATAATAAATTAGTACCTAGACAAATGACTTGCAGGGTACAGTAATTTTTGTTACAGTCGCAAGCAACCTTCCACCAGAAAGGGTTGCTCCGTCCGTTGATCTTGGGCAAGCATGCCTGCTTTCCTGCTCAACTCGTGCCTGCCTGCATGCATGCACAAGCTCATGTGCTGCCTGGTGCACATGTGCGGCCACTGATGGCATGCCTGCTCTCCACAGAACCATTTCTTCATCGCTACATGACCAGACGGCATGACCCTGTGGCCTCGATAACTACACTGCTGCACGCTGCTTTTATGCTCTGCTGTCCCCTCTGCCGCCCTGTTCCCCCTCCCTCGTGCCCTCTGCACCAAGCATGCAGCCTGGCAGTGCGAAGCGTTGGACAGCAGCCTACCCCTTCAGTGGTGGAGATGAGGAGCCACGTGAGCAGCAGCCCTGCCGGACCCCAGCCTGCCTCTCACACTGCCCTTGAGCGGTCGCCACTTGAACGGCGCTGCCACACATGCCTGCACCACCTGCTCCGACCCGCCCCCGCCTCCCCCATTCTCCTGCCCCTGCCCGCCCATTAGCTCGCCCCTCCTCTCCTTGCGGAGCTCGCCATTGCGGCTGCTGCTGCCACTGCTGCTGCTGCTGAGGGAGCGGCGCATGGAGCGGCGGGGGGAGAGGCGCAGCGGGTGCAGCAGCTGCTTCAGGCTGGACTCTGCATCCCCCACACACGACACCCCTGGGGGAACCACTGCTACTGCTGCTGCTCCCGGTTTTGAAGCTGCTGTGCAGCCTGCTACAGCAGTGCCGGCTACAGCACTGCCTGCTACAGCACTGCCATCTGGGACGGGCACGTGCACTCTCAAAGGTCCTGGAGGGACTGCTGCGGTTGCCTCTAAGCGCGCCTGCACTCCCACGGGGACGAATTCCCTGCTGTTCTCCGCTGCACTGCCTGCACCGCCCCCCCTGCCCTTGCTCTCTGCCTGCACTTCGCCACTCACACTGCCACCCGTCTCTCTCTCTCCACCCTCCTCTCTCTGCTCAGTCGATGGCTCACTGGCGGTTTGCTGAACGGCACCAGCCAGAGCAACAGCTAGTGGCGTGTGTGAGGGCTCGGGACTGGTAGTCGGTGTGGGTGCGGCCATGGGTGTGGATGTGGCTTCGGGTTTAGGCATGAGTGTGCTGCCAGAAGCTGCCACTGTACTTCCATCCCCTGTGTCTGTGCTGCTGCCAATCCTGTCATTGCTGCCATTGCTGCCCTTCGCGTCCCCTTGTCCTTCACTCGCCACTGCTCCACCGCTCTCGACCCCTGTGCTGCCGCCTGGCTCCACCGCACACGCCTCTGCACTTCCATGCAAGGCGCTCTCTCCTGCCCCTGCTGCCACCTGCACTGCGCCTTCCACTCGCCCTCCTTCTGATTGTGACTCGCCTGCTGCTTCTGCTGCTGGTGCTGCGACAACCTCCATTGCTCCTTGACTTGACACAGCAGCAGCAAGTTTGTCCGTGGCGATAGCAGCACCGGCATCGGCACCACCAGCGCCAGGAGCAGAGCCAGTGCAATCGTTGCTGGGGAGGATCACGGCGACAGGCTCAGTGAGGACAGGCTCAGTAGGGACACGGTCATCAAGGGACATGGCAGGGGCTGCAGCATGTGCCGTGGCATGTGGAGCGCTGTGCAAGGGAGCAAGTGAGGGGGAACCTACGGAGGCACGAGAGGGAGCACAAAGGACGGGCGATCGAGGGGCAGCTGTGTTCGCGCCACCACTGTCTCTGCTGCCCGCTGTGCTCTGAACCTCACCAACGGCCTTCACACTCGCGCTGCCACCACTGGTGTTGCCATCGCTAGCACTGCCACCAAAGGTGCTGCTGCTAGTACCGCCACTCGCGTCGCTGGACCCAGCACTCACACCCTCGCCTTGGGGCTGAGCAACGTGCCAGTGATTGCTGCTTATGCTTTTCTGCATGTTGCTGCCGTTCCCCCTGGCGTTACCATCCCATGCGCTGCTGCTGCTGCTGCTGCTGCTGCTAAAGCTGGCTCGCCCTGGCACACGAGCATCTGCCGCGCTGCTCCACTCCTTCACTCTGCCCGCCCCGGATCCCTTACTCGCCGCCTTCGCCCCACTCGCCCCGCCACTGCCACTGGCGCTGCCCCAGTCGCCCCACGCGCCCGCCTTCTTCCCCGCGCCCTCCCCCTCCGCGCCTGCAGTGCCCCCGGCCAGCCCCAGCGAGGAGAGGCGGCCGCGGCGGTAGTCAGAGGCGAGGGAGGAGAGCGAGCGGAACAGCGCCTTCACAATGCGCTTCGTGCCGCTGCCCACCCCCCCCGACTGCCCTGCCCCGCCCTTTCCCCCCTCTGCCTTGGCGCTCTCTGTCTTCGCCCCTGGGCTCCTCCCAAACGCCGCTGCTAGGCTGCGCACGGCACTGTTTGGCGTGTTGCCCGCACTGCCGCCCATACTGCTGCCTGTCCTCCCTGTCCCTGCTGCCCCGCACGCCCCTCCCGCCCCGCTGTGCCGACTGCCAGCCTCCTCCGTGCCATCCCCTGGGCAGCCCCCGTCCTCCTCCGTGCCCGCAGCACCGCCTGACACGGCGTGCCTGGCGGCCCTCCTCAGCGCCGACGCAGCAGCAGACGCGGCAGAGCGAGCAGCGGACACGGGTGGGGGAGCGCGGCGGGGGGAGGGCGTGCGTGGCGACTGGGGCGCGGGCTGAGGCGCGGGGTGCTGTGGGTCCGGGACTTGCAGCGCTGCCACGCGCCCTCCCGCACTCGCTGGCCTCGCTGCCCCGCCTGCCCCGCCTACCCTGCCTGCGCGCTCGTCACTCCAGTCCGCCCCTTTCCCCGCTGGGCTCGCGCCCATGGCCGCTGGCTCCCCCTCGCGCGCGCCCACAGGCTGCGGCACAGGCAGCGCGGGCGCAGGGGGCAGGGGCGTGTGCGCGAGCCAGGGGTGCTGCAGCAGGAGGGGCGCGGAGAGGCGCGAGGCGGGGTTGGGGTCGAGCAGGCGGCGGATGAGCGCCTTGGCGGGCGCGGAGACGGACGGCCAGGGGGGCGCCTGCAGGTTGAGGCGCCCCTTGGTGATGGCGCGGAACACCTTCTTCTCCGTGTCGCCCACGAACGGCAGGTCGCCTGCTAATAACGAGTACAGCACCACGCCCAGACTCCACATGTCTGCTGACGTGTCGTAGGAGCGCCGCGCCAGCACCTCTGGCGCGACGTAGAAGGGGCTCCCCGCGAAGCCCTGCGCGCGCTCCCCCGGCCCCAGGTGCAGCGCCAGCCCGAAATCCGCCAGCTTCACGTGGAGCGGGGGCGGCGGAGGGGAGGGGGAGGGCGGACAGGCGGAGGCGGAAGCGGAAGGGGGAGGGGACGTTGGAGGGGTTGGGGAAGGATCTGCAATGGTGGGGAGGCAGCGGAGGGGGGAGGTGGGGAAGGCGGAGGAGGAGGGGGAGGGGAGCGAGGAGTGGCGGAGCAGATGGCCGGGAGGGGGCGTGCTGGATTGAGAGGTGTGTGGGGAGTGGTTGGGAGGGGTGACGGACGACCCTGGCCACTGTTGCTCCAGAGGGGACAACCCCCCGTCGTTCCCCTCGTCGTCCGCCTGCTCCCGCGGCTTCCAATCCTCCACCGCCGCCACTGCCGCACTTCCCCGCTCCCCCGCACCCCCATCTCCCCCCTCCGCCCCGCTTCCCCCCTCCCCCTCCGCCACGGGGTGCAGCAGCAGGATGTTTTCGGGCTTGAGGTCGCGGTGCAGCACGCCGCGCGCGTGGCAGAACGCCACCGCCTCCGCCAGCTGACGGAAGACGACGGCGGCGTCCGCCTCGGAGAAGCGCTCGCGGCGCACGATCTCGTGGAAGAGCTCGCCGCCGTGGCAGAGCTGCATGACGAGATGGACGGCTGAGACGTCCTCGAAGGTGGCGTGCAGCTGCACGATGTGCGCGTGGTGCCCCAGCTGCTCCAACACCTGCCCGCCCGACCAATGGAAGGGGTGGGGGGAAAGAAGGGGTTGGGTGGGTGGTGGGGAGAGAGGGGGAATGGAGGAGGAACAGAGGTACATTATGGCGAGAAGGACTGGTGTTGATGTCGACGTGAGCCTCAGGCGCGATCGGCAGGCAGGAACCTTGCCAGTCAGGATGACGAACCGCTTAGTTAGGCTCCATACGTCACTACGGAAAAAAAAAACCGTTTTCTTGACAAGACCAGCATGACGGGCCGCGGGAGGAAATGCAGGAAATTGTTGTGTTTCCGCACCTCGATTTCTCTTCGGACGTCTGCCACGTCAGCGGCGCATCGAAGGTTGTCCTTGAGAATGCTCTTGCACGCGAACCTCTCGCCCGTGGCGCGGTGCCGGCACACGCGCACCACTGACGAGCCGCCATGCCCGATCTCCTCTAAAAACTCGTACGACGCGGTTATATCGGGCGACGGCCGTGATAATATGGGGTCCCACAGACCCATGGCCTACAGCGATGCGTCGACTATCCTCGTTATAGCACGAACGGACACTGCGCACTCACTTGGCATATCCTTGTCATGGAGTAAGCGACCGAATGGCAAGTGCGTGAGTCTGCTGCATACAGACAAGCTCGACGAGCGCGATACGCGGGTGATGAGATGAGAGGAGTAAGACGGCAATGCCTAGAAACTGATGTCCAGCGCGCGCGAAATGCGTTCCGCAGTATCGGGAATGCTGCTATGCTTCTCTGTGATGTGTTGTTGACCACTTCGTGATGTGATGTGTGTGGCTGTGTGACTGGTGCGGCGGGGTTGTGCACTTTTTGGGGGAGCAGACGGCCAGCGGTTGAAATAAACGGGGGTGCGGCTGAGCGGACAGAAGTTGCGCGGGAGCGACAAGCTCGAGGCGAGCTTGGTGGTTGCGGGGGGGAAAGAGGGGGGCAAGCAAGAAGCGGCGGTTTGGACGTTGGGGGCGGGGGAGCGGAGTAATACAGCCAGGCACACGGCAGGCACCTCCCTTGGCTTTTCCCAAACAGTCCCAAGGGCGGTATTCCCGCCCACTGCCACACGGTCAGCGCCGCTGACACCTCCCGCATGAATTGACGCAGAGCCGTTGGGCTGCCCTGCCCACAGGCAGGAAGCTGCTGGTCGCCGTCAAGAAAATGCTTGGGAGGGACTGCAGGACGTTCATGGGGGATGTGCGAAGAAGGGTAAGGATGGTTACCGGTTACAGTACACTTCGTCAAATAACGGCTGCAACTTCTGTTCGCTAGGGTTATTTTTCCGATTTCAGAAATTGACCTAAAATTGGTCCGACGATTTGGAGTCCCTTGTTTCCACTCATTTTCCTAGTCGGCCATTTCCAAAAGCGCATAGGCTGATCAGCACTCCTCGTCGCGCATTACTCGCGCACATCAGGGCAGCAGCTTTCGACTCTCCGTATTGAATCTGCTCAGCATGGCCACAGCGAGCGATGATATTGAGAAGCTTTACGAACATGGGGAGAAACTAGCGAGCTCGAAGGACAAGACGCAGGTTAGCAATTCGAAAAAGGGAATAGCGTTCCTCTGCCCGTACGACCTATTCTGACGCCCGCGATGATTGTGGCTTGCAGAACGAGAAGGACTACCTCGGGGTCATCGCGGCAGCGACGGGGAGCAGCAAGGCGAAGCTGTTCGCAGCGCAGCAGATTCCGCGCTTCTTCAAATTCTTTCCGCAGCTGTCCGCCGAAGGCATCAACGCGCAGCTAGATCTCTGCGAGGATGACGACATCAATGTAAGGATGACGACAGCAATGTGTTGCGGACAGCAATGACTAGATTGCAGCGTCAATGCATAGGATAGCGAGTTTTTGCGATGCTTTGCCAGCGCGGGTAGCATGCGACCCTGATCGTTCAGTAATAGCTGGAGGCGACATTGCCTACGGCTGTGAAATGAGTTTCAACTATACCCGGATTCCGTCCCCTCTACTCTGGTCAGATTCGACTACCCGCGATTCGAGGGCTCCCTTTCCTGTGCAAGGACACACCGGAGCATCTCCCAAAGATCGCTGACGTGCTGGGCCAACTGCTCATTGGAGGTACGCTCGCTGTGATCGAGGCTGGAGGTACGGCGCGTGTGCGTTGGAGGTAGGGGGCGAGAGTTAGTTGCACGTCCATTTCTGGACGCATCAGGCAACAACTTAGAAAGAGAAAACGTTTGATGAAAGAGTTTGAAACGTGTGTGAGTGTGCATGTGTGAGTGTGTGGATGGTGTGTATGTGTGTGGCAGAGGAGCCGGAGCACGGAGTGGTGCAGAACTCGTTGATGCAGGTGCTCAGGCAGGACCCCAAAGGTGAGTCTGCTTACTCGCCATGCCTCGTGCTTTCCACGCCGTAGTTGCATTCATCGCAGCCGTAGCTGTTATTCTCATTCGCTGATGCACTGACCAGTGGTGGCGGGGCGGGGGCATGGCAGGGAGTCTGGCGGCGATATTCAAGCACATAGAGAGCTCCGAGGACAAGCTGCGGGAGAACGTGCTCTCCTTCATTCGCGACAAGGTGCGCCACCGCCTTCACTGCTTTGCGTTGCAACACATGCCCTTGCACTCGTGCGCTTGAGAACCATGATCTGTTTTCCTTCTCCTTGATGCCACGAATCTGACGTGTCACCCCCACATGGCACCATGGCGTGGCAGGTGTTTCCGAACAAGGCGAGCGTCCTGGTGCCTCAGGCAGAGATGGAAAGACATGTGACTGACCTGATCAAGGTGAGAGAGACGCGTGAATAACCAACGTGTGGAGGGAGGAGCTCTCACTTATTCTAGCCAATGTGACCATGAATTTCCTCTCCCGTCACTCAAGGCAAGGCCTTGGTGCCCACCCACATTCATGCGCACTGCTCTCTGCCACCCTCCACTGCTGCATGCCCACCTTCCCATTGTACCCCACGGCATTCCCTGGGTGTGGCAGGGCATACAAGACGTGACGGGCGAGGAGTTCGCCATGTTTATGGCGTTCCTGCAGGGCCTCGCGCTGTTTGGCGCCAAGGCACCACCCGAGCGCATGCAGGAGCTGGTGGAGATCGTGGAGGGGCAGGCCGACCTCCTCGCCTCCTTCGATGTCAGTCACCTCCCACTCACACACCCTCTCCAGACCTCTCTCGCCCTCCCGTGCTCACCTTCCGACTTTCGCCCTCCCTTGCTTGCCTTCCTTCTCTCGCCCTCCCTCTCTCGCTCCCTCTGGCCTTGGCTCGCCTTGTGTTGGTGACTCCTCCTCATCCTGCCTGCACTGCCTTCACCAGCAGCGCTGAGATTGTGATTGCAGAGCGTGCCGCACCTCCTGTAGTCCGCCAGGTGCTTCTTGTGGCAGCTTGGGCTAGTGTAGTGCCCATGGCACTGCCCGTGTGCCATCGCACCGCACCCCATGCTATCCCATCTCATCCCATCCCATCCCATCCCATCCCATCCCATCCCATCCCATCCCATCCCATCCCATCCCATCCCATCCCATCCCATCCCATCCCATCCCATCCCATCCCATCCCGTCCCATCCCATGCCATGCCATGCCATGCCATGTCATGCCACCCCACGGCACGTGCAGGCGTCAGACACGGACCACATAGAGCGGGTGATGGCGTGCCTGCAGATGGCGCTGCCCTTCTTCGCTGTCAGTGCCCCCCCTCATTCCCGTCCACTGCACTGCATGCCCCACTGCTTCTTTCTCGCCCTGTTGTTGGCGTTCTGAGCCAGCCATCCGCAGCATGCTCTTGCATCACTCTCGTTGGGCCCCGTGACACCATGCCCCGCTTCCAACTTCATTGCTTCTCATTCACTCGCCATGCTGTCCAAACTGCAATCACACCCATGTCTACACCTGCTCACCGCTGTGGATGCAGAGGGGCGGGTCGAACAGCAAGTTCTTCAACTTCATCGCCAAGCACATCCTCCCCGCCTTCCACAAGGTGCTGCCCTGCCCGGCCCTTCCCCGGCCCCCTTTGGACAGCCCACACACGCAGCTTCCTCCTTTCTTGGTGGAGCTGAAGCACATTGTAGCCGTAACTGCATTGCCGAACAGAGGCACATCAAGGGCCACGCATGAGTGCATGCGAGCTATCGTGCACTCTGCAGCACGAATGGCATTATGCATCGTGCACCTTCACTGCATTGCTGAGCACAGCTGTCTGCCACCATACCATACCATACCATACCATACCATACCATACCATACCATACCATACCGTACCGTACCATACCATACCATACCATACCATACCATACCATACCGTACCGTACCGTACCATACCATACCATACCATACCATACCATACCATACCATACCATACCATACCATACCATACCATACGATACTGTCATGTGGTGGCGGCAGGTGGCGGAGGACAGGAGGGGCGAGCTGCTGCGGAGCATGGCGGAGGCGTCGCCCTTCACATCACCCGCCGACTCCAGACACCTGCTGCCAGGGGTCACTGATCTGCTCAAGGTGTGACTCTACTGCGCAAGCTGAGTGCATGCCTTGGGGCTTCAACCCTAGGTTTGAGGCTTAGGGCACATGCGATGAGAGCCCACCACCCCAGCCCCGTTCAATCGCATCACCCGCCCACTCCAGACACGTGCTGCTGCCGGGGGCCACTGATGTGCTCAAGGTGAGTGTGTACCCTCACGCTTCAGCACTGGGGTTCAGGGTCTAGGGTGCACGCCACGCTACCCCACCACCCGGGCCTGTTCACATCACGAGGCCAGCTGACTCCAGACACCTGCTACCATGTCACCTCCTCAAGGTTGCTCACCAGCTTTGGGCAATCACTCCGTCCCCTGCAGGTGCACCGCTCACTTCCACCCAAGCCACTTCTTCAACTGTCAAACGTCCCACTTTCCCCCACGAATCGCCATCGTTTGTTGTGCGTGGCACGGCAGGAGTACATGGCAAAGAAGGGCGCGGATCTGGACATCACGGCACTGGAGGCGCTGCTCTTCACCTTCAACCAGCTCGCCCACAAGGTGCCGCTCTCACTCACTCAACTCAACCACCTCTGCCTGTGTGCCAGCGCCACACAGTTTTGTTGAAAGGCGCCTCTGGCCTCGCATGGGCGGCATTCATGCTTTGCATATGAGGGTTTTGTGAGTGCTGTGCATGGGTTGGTGGGGATGGTATGCATCCATGATGCCATGCCTTGGCTCCTCTTCATGCACTCTAGATATCGCGCATGGACGGGCATGTATCTTCCACATTGCGGCTCCCATTTTCCTGCCTCCCTGCCTCCCTGTCTCACTGCCTCACTGCCTCACTGCCTTCTTCCCTGCCTGCCTCCGCACAGACGCCCAACGCCACGAATGCGCTGTGTGGGTACAAGATCGTGACGGGGCAGCCGTCTGACCGCCTGGGGGAGGACTTCAAAGACCTGCACACTGACTGGCTCGCCAGGTAACTCCTGCCTAGGTAACTCCTGCCCTGGTTACTCCTGCCCAGGTGATGCTTGTGTTAGTGTTAGTCTTCAATCTCACAATTTGTACTTTGTATTTTCTATATCCTAGAGTAGTGTAGTTTGCACATTGTGTTTGGTTGGGTGTACACCTACATCCCAACCAAACCCAAATGTAATCTCCAACCAATCTCCAACCCACCAATTGGAGATTGCCTTGGGATTACCTCCAATCCCTAGAGATTGTCCATGATTCCCTTCCCCATCCTTTTCCTACCCCTCTTGGATGTACTTAAAGAGCTTTAAGCTCATTACTAATGTATCAGTTCTAAGCCTAAGTTCTGACAGCTTGCCCCGATGACACCCGCCGAGGTGACGCGTGTTCAAGTCGTGCATGGTCAAATAAGGTCCATCCAGGTAACACCTGTCCTGGTAAGGCCTTGCTTGCCAGGTGAAGGCTCGTTCCCCACCATCCCCACTCATTTCCTTCACCACTCATAGGCTGGTTCCGCTGGTGCTATGTGTTTCCCACGGCCTGCTGCTTGCTCGCTGATGCCTGCGCTTTGCCCTCTGCTCGCTGATCGCCGTGTTGCTTGTGACCCCAGGGTGGCGGGCGTGGAGGAGGAGGTGAAGAAGCGCATCAAGGTGGTGATGCAGGAGGTGGCGGAGATCACCAAGCAGCAGCGCTCCGCCAAGGATGAACCCACCATCACCGAACTTGTAAGCTCACCTCGGCGCCCTGCCTTCTCTGCCTTGCCTGCCTACCTGCTCTGTGTTCTGCCTGAGCCATGGGTTGTTCACACATTCTGTGTCATAGCATGCTTCACACATGCACACGTTCATAAATGCATACAAGCACACGTTCATAAATGCTCACGTTCACACATGCACAAATGCACACATGTTGAAATGCTCAAACGCGCACGCCACGTGGTTGCGCACGCTCACCCTGTGTGTGTGGGAGAATGATGGCAGAAGGAGAAGAAGGCAGCAGCGGCGCGCACACTCAAGGCATTGCAGAACATTGAGAAGCTCAGCAAGGTGCGTTGGGCTCACAAAAAGGGTTGTGTTGTAGCGGCAGTCACGGTACAGCCCACCATTGTTCTCTTTGAATCATCTCATGCACACGCTCTCGCCAATCTTAGCTGTGCTGGAGTATTCCATCCACCCTGCTGCACGAATATCTCGCTCTCCCTGCATCCCACCTATACCACCATGCTCCCCACCACACTTCACCTCCACCACACGTCCCTCCCTGGACGGCAAGCTGCCATGCGCACTCTCACCCACCCTGCACAGCAGCACTGCTGACTCTGCCGCCTTCCGTCTCATGTGTGCCCCATGCCCCCCGCACTGTCCTGCCGCCCAGCCACTCAAGTCCACGGTGCCGCAGTTCCTGGGCGGCAAGGCGGCACCGGCACTCTCTTGGAAGCCCGAGGCTGCCGCCCCTGCAGGGCCCTCCGCTGCCAAGCCTGGCTCAGCGCAAGCAGTGGGGTACGTCTCGCTGCTCTCCTGTTCCAACAGCTCTGCATCTTGTTTCGGCTGTTCGAGAGCACGCAAAGCACTCTGTTTGCCTTGTGTGCTTGCTATGCCTCCGCTCCTCCTGGCAGGCCCATCTCACTTGAAGTCCCTCTAACTCCTCCCCTCCCCTTCCCAACCCCCTGCGTCCTCTCTACTCCTCCCCGACGCACACACTGCTGCAAGCAGGGCGAAACGAGGGGCAGGGCCAGCAAATGGCAAGGGTGGGGCGGCAGCAGCACCGCAGCAGAAGAAGGTGCGGCAGGATGGCGGTGCAGGTGGCGGCGGTGGTGGGAAGCTCATTGGCCGGGCCGTACAGGGTATTCAGGGAGGGGGTGGTCAAGGCGGTAGAGGTGGTGGTGGGGGTGGAAGGTCCAGAAGGCCTTGGCATAGGGGGGGAAGAAAGTAATTACGTTAGGTTAGGGCTAGTGCTAGTGGTTTTGCCCTTTTGTTGGCTTTCCTCTGGCAAAAGTTGATGTGGAGGAACTAACTCTTGTATAATGGCAGTTCACAAGGGGGTTCCAGTCTAGACAAGTGGTCAGCAACGTAATACCTAGTGCTTTCCATTCCGGCCCTGCTCAAGCTTCTAATTTTACAATGCAGTTTCTAACCTGGTTCTGGCAATGACTGATGACCCCTGATGTAAAAAAATGTTTTTTTGTCTAACATTAAATCTTAGTATCCATGGTAGTTGCCTCCGCTTTGTCGAGTAACAATCGCCTAAGCATTTCGCTACGCTCGCCCGCTGGAATGACTGCATCAATTACTCATCAAACTCGAATGATCGGAGGGCACACATTCGCCGAGCAACCTCGCGCCGCTAAGGCGGGGGAGCGAAATTTGCCCGCGAGGGCGAGCCGCATGTCGAAATTCGGGCTCTGAGCGAAGCGCGACCGTACCGCATCATCTTGCCTACCCGTCCTCAGCAGGGCTTCCCCCCCCACCTTTTCCCGTCCGTGTTCCCTTACCTGGCCGACAACGATGGATTCATAGATAGGTTTCATTCGAGCTGGACAAGCCTCTTACAGCCGCCGTTCCATACCACCGTCCCGCACCAAAGTAGGGAGGGACTCGAAACACACGCTCAGACAAGGGCAGTGCGAGATACAGCCGACACCGCCACATCAGATCTGTCCAGTCGCTGCACTCGCCTTGGCTGCTCTGTGCAAGAACTGTGTTTTATGAGATTTTTGCTCAATTCCGCGGAATCGCGGTTCGTTTTATTATCGCCACGTGGCACGCCTTCGATCGCGAGAACCGCGATCTGTTTTATTTTTCTCACAAAGTTCAGGACAGATTTAGTTAAGTTCAGTACGGCGCTGCCCGCAGGCAAAACTAAAACCCATTCTGGCCTGGCATGCGTTAGGGAGGCATCAACCCTAAACACCTTGCCTCTATGTGTTTAGGGTTGATGCATCCCTAACGCATGCCTTTCCCGTAGGGGTTTTATTTTTGCCCGCGGGCAAGGCAGTACATGTGATCCACTAGATTTCACTTAAAAAAAATGTGAGAAGAATCAAACAACTCGCGGTTCCCACGATCAAAGGCATGCCACGTGGCGAAAATAAAACAAACCGCGGTTTCACGAAAATGAGCAAAACTCTCGTGTTTTATCTCATTGATGCGGCGAAACGTCGAATGTAATAGGAGCAGAAAGTACAAACGGTAAAACCTATCATCCATGTAGGCACTAGCAACTACTGATGACCAATACGCGATTAACCTAGGCCGAACAAGTGCTCTTTCATCGCAATGAAAAACGTCGCAGTGGCGCCTCGCAGCCTCTAACCAGTGACGCGACGATACTCTTGAACTTACGCGTCGCTCTCCTCGGTTTCTCATCGCTCAGCCTTTACAAACTAATCATGCCGTGCTGCCACCCAGCCTCACATCGCCCACTCTCGTACCGCGTACAGTCATGAGGCGCCAACCCGTCGCAAGCAGGGTTTGCATTTTCACGAGAAGCTCGCCGCGAATGACGCTACATTGCTAGGTTTCGCATAAAACCTCGACTAGGCACCCCCACGTTATCACTCAGTAGGTGTAACAGACCTCGCATTAGTTAGTACGCTCGTACGAACTTAAAAAGACTGGTAGGAAAATAAAGCCGTTACGAACGGAGTGCCGGATCGCGGGCGCCATGTGGTGGCACTGCAGCAGACGAGGCAGCAGTTTAGCGTTACAGTGCACAGCATTGACGTGGAGCATTCTCATTGGCCTAACATTGTCGTGCGATCCGTTTGACGGAAAATGGGTGGCAGACTCGTCGCGGCCGCCCTATGACGAGAGCTGTCCTTTCCTTGTAAGCCCGTTTTTCGACCCCCTGTCGTGCGTCCCCTTTCCTCTTTCCTTGCCTCTGTCATTTCTACCCTCCCTCCCTTCTCCCCTCAGTTTCCCCAACCCTCCACTCCGCATCCCGCCCCCCGCGCGCCCCTCCCCTCTTCCGCGCGTGCTCCCCCTGCGCAGTTTCAGATTGCCCGGTGTCGCGGCAACGGGCGACCAGACAGCGGGTTCGTGCGCTACTCGTGGTACTCCAACAGCTGCGGCCGCACGCTCCGCTTCAACTCCAAGTGCGTCCCCCGCGCTGACCCGCTCGCTTCCCGCACGCTTTCCTCGCTTGTTCCTTTTATCTCCTTCTCACCCCACAACCCGCGGTTAACCCAGTCCACGCGCACCCCGCTCGTTGCTGTCATCACAGCCGCTGTCAGACCCCGTCCTGCGACTCCTTGCGTCCCCGCGCTTTCCGCGTTCAGACCCGCCGATCTTTGATCGGCCCATCGCAGCGTGCTGACGTGCAGCGCGAGCTGATCAATGCCTTAACTTGAACGCGAATTTTATCGGACTAAGTTTTGAATCCAATGAACATCCTCGCAGGTCGTTCCTGAACATGATTAAGGGAAAAACCATCGCCGTCATCGGCGACTCGCTCACCGCCGCCAACTTCGTGCCGTCGCTGCTCTGCCAGGTGAGAGAGAGGGGTTACGTGCTACGGTGAGGGCGAGGGCGAGGGCGAGAGCGAGAGCGAGGGCGAGGGGTGGACTCATTCGAACTCGTTGTCTCATTTGGGACACACAAAACTCTTTTTTCGGGACTCATTTCCTCTCCCCCTATTCCACCCTCCTTCGCCCCCCTCCGCGCGCGCCACTGGCGCGCAGATCAACGAGGTCACGACGGTGAAGAACGGGTCGCGGCGCACGCTAGACGGTGGCAGCGGCGCGCAGTACATGCCGGACATGGTGGCGTTCTATTACGACATCCCCGCGTACGGCGCGCGCATCGTCAGCATCTGGGACGACTACCTCATGCGCACCTCCACCGGTACGTACGTTGGGGGAGCGGGAAGGCAGTATCAAAACAACGTAGCCGCGTTGAGGTTACAAGGAGCAGGCTGTGCTGTGGGTAGCTGGGGGAAGCGTGATGCGCCTCTAAGGGTCGTCAAAATCTGGGACGACTACCTCATTGCGCACCTCCGTCGGTACGTCGTGGGGGCGGGCGGGCAATGTCATATCTTCGTGAGGGCGAGGCAAGCTGTGCCGTGGGAAGCGGGGAGGAGCGCTCTGTGAGGTGCCTCGCAGAGCCGTCAGCATCTGGGGCGACTACCTCATTCGCACGTCCGTCGATACGTTGGGGGGAGTCAGGCGGACACACGCACGTCCGACGATACGTTGGGGGCCCGTCGTTAGTTGGCGACGGTGAGGAGGCAGTTCCTTGGGTGGGCCGGGTCCGTCGGTGAGCTGCAGTAAGGTACCTCGCGCGCAAGTCCGTCAGGGAGGTTGGCGGTGGCGAGGCAGTGTCGTATTGACGCTGGGTGGCCGTGGGTGTGCCGGGAGGGAGCCGGGTGAGCGTATGGGAGCTACCGCACGACCACACGTCAGCATCGCACAGTGCCGTGAGTGCGCAGGACAGGCGTGGAAGCGTTGCCGCAGGCACGTTGATTGCCTCGCGCGCAACTCCGGGGGTGGGGGCGGAGTGATCAGCGAAGGCACCCACGCGTGGCGAATGACAAATGCGGTGCGTTGAGCCTGCCAGTGCGGTACGGTGCGGTGCGGTACGGTGTGTGGAGAATACCAAAAGACCAGCTCATCCGTTAGGGGGGGCGGTCGGTTCGCGAAGGCACCCATGGGTGGCGAATACGGCGCGCGGGACTGCCTGCCCACGCAGCCGCCGTTCAACTCGTCTGCTGTGCCGCTCAATTCTCCCTGCCTCCCTCCCCCTCTCCTTCACGCACTCGCTCACGCCCCCCAGACAAGGGCACGATAGCGAAGCTAGCGACGGGGTTCACGCCCGGCCCCGACGACGCGATCATCGACGTGGAGACCGTCAACCCGCAGCGGGGCGACGTGGGGCTGATCTCCCTCTCCATTTCTCCCCTTGCACACCCACCCACCCACACACACACACACGCGCACACACAATCCCCCCAGATAAGGGCATGATTGCCAAACTGGCAACTGGTTTCACGCCCGGGCCGGACGACGCGATCATCGACGTGGAGACCGTCAACCCGCAGTGGGGCGACATCGTGGGCGAGTGGCACGCCGTGGTGATGGAGACCACGTCGCACTGGCGCGTCGTGCCCGACGCGCCGCGCCTCATCTTCACCAACGACGACTGGCAGACGCTCAACGGCGTCGACCCCTACATGGCGCACGCGTGAGTGGCGGAGGGGGGAGGGTACGGGGTACATGGTGAACGCGTGAGTGCCGCGACGGGGGGGCCTGAGAGGGGGAAAGCGAGGGGGAAAGCGAGGGGGAAGGGGGTGCATGGCAGACGCTCAGCGGCGTCGACCCGTACTTGGCGCACGCGTGAGTGGCGCGGGGAGCGAGGGTGGGTGCATGGGGCTTGTGTGTTTCAGAGGGGAAACGATGCCCGCTCGCACGCGTGCTCCCATCCGCCGCCCTCCTTTGACGTATCCTTCCCCTCCCCTTCCCCCCTTCCCCGTTGCCCCGTTTCTCCCCTCGCCCCCTCCAGGCGCGCGCTGAAGACGATCGCGAGCTTCTTCGAGGCGCGGCGGCAGGCGGGGAAGGCGTTCCCCGTGCCCTTCTTCATGACGGCGCCACCGCAGCACTCCGCCAAGAAGATCGGCGGCAGCGGCGTGTGCGGGTCGCCGGGGCGCGTGCTGAACGACGCGGAGATCGACAAGATGCTTCGCACCAACGTGCAGCTCTCGCGCTATTGGCCCATGCAGCGCGCCGCGTTCCCCGACGGGTCGGCGGTGCGGCGGTTTGACATCACGCTCGTGAGCGCGTACCGACCCGAGGCGCACTGCGGGATCTACTCGAAAAAGAACAACGTGCGCGCCCGCCCTCACTCCTCTGCATCCTCTCCTCTCGCTCTTTGCGTTCCTCTCTCCCATCTCACTTATCGCACTCATACTTAACAAATGCATTTCCAGTTTTGGTGCATGTTTAACCACACACATATCCACTCCCATCCCCATCCCCATCCCCACTCTCATTCCAACACGCATCCCACCACCCAACCCCCCCAGCTGGTGAAGTACTGGTGCCAGCCAGGAGTGACCAGATAGACATCTGAATGCCCGCATATTCACTCGCATCCCCATTCTCAATCTCATGTCCATCCCACCTTCCATACCCATGCCCACAACCCCCACCTATCCCTTCTCCACCCCCAACAGTCGCTCGACTCTCTGCACTGGTGCCAGCAGGACGTGCCTGACTCTTTCACGAGAGGCTGCACGTCGATTGCATCCACTCCCTTGCCTGTCCCCAACCCCATCCTATCCCCATTCTCATCCCTTTCCCAATGCTCATCTCCATCCCCACTACCATTCCCATCCCCCATCCCCACCGCCCACCCGCCACAGCCGGTGAATTTTTTAACCTGTCTGCACTGGTGCCAGCCGGGTGTGCCCGACATCTGAATGCATGCATACCCACCCTCCCACCCCACTGTGCAAACCCCCCACCTACCCTCCACCCCCACAGCCGGTGAAGTACCTGGACTGTCTACATTGGTGCCAGCCAGGAGTGCCGGACATTTGGGTGGACCTCTTTCACGAGATGCTGCTGGCCGAGCCACTCTTTTCCGGTGACTCCACCACTGCCGCCTCCAAGCCTACCTCTAAGCCTAAACCCAAACCCAAGCCCAAGCCGACTCCCAAGAAGCCCAAGCCTTCCCCGTCGCCTTCCAAGCCGAAAGCATCCCCGTCGCCTTCCAAGCCTAAACCCTCCCCGTCGCCGTCTCCCGAGAAGTCACCGCCACCGCCGGCGCCGGCCTCCCCACCCCCTTACGTGCCGCTAGACCCCACCAAGCCCAACCGCTTCAAGCGCAAACCAGGCACGTGAGCGGAGCAGCAGGGAGTGGGGAGAGAGATGATGGTTGTGTGCGCACACGGTTTCTGGGAAGGCCACCATTGAGCCTGCCTGAGTGACAAGCTCTGCAAGAGTGGCGGACGAATGAACCAAGGGGCATGACCAAGGAGGACTAATTCTTTTGCAAGGTTTGAGTATGGCACAGGGTGTTTTGAAAGTTCTCAAACAAATGGTGCCAGAGATGTGTGCATCCCTCAATTCATGTCAACCGCGCACCTTATAGTGGAATGGCGCCCCTTCCACAATAGTACGGTAGCATATATGTGTCACTGATGCACACTGACCATCCGCTAGATGGAATTAGATGTATTGGCATGTACACTTCGTTATATAGCACGAATATGTAGAATCATGTTATGGCTAATTGTTTCAACTTCTACAAGAACTGTACTCGAGGATCCAGAGCTGAATCTTATCGCGTATGTGTCTGGTGACATCAAGCGCAAAGCCTCGGGCTCGGCTCACCTATAGGACCCCCGTGTCGCTCGAGGCGAGACTCGCTCCATCGCACGAGAACGTCCACCCGCACCTTGCCCTTGCCTCTCGACGGTGCTCCGCCTCGCCCCGCACTCACCACGCCGCCCCTTCGCCTCTCGCCCTAGTCTCCCTTGCCCGCACCCATGCTTCCGCCCGTTGCACCGCCCTCCGCTCGCGCGCTCAACGGGGAGTGCCTGCGCTGCGCCAATAGCTGCGCTCTGTCGTTACTCGCGGCCGCACGACCTGCTTCGCTCTTGCCTGCGCGCGCCGCCCCGGTTTCTGCTGTGGGTCGCGCTTCCGCTCGCGTGCGCGCAAAAGCCGGAGAGGGCGGCGGACGCAATGGGCGCTCGGAAGGTCGGAACGCGTCGCAGGCGGAGGGGCGCTGGGCGGAAGGTTTCGCGGCGGAGGAGCGACGTGGGGAGGGGGAGCGGTCGGGGGCGGAAACACAGTCGCAGCGACAGGGGGAGTGGCGCAGAGCTCGGGGAAGAAAGGCGGGAAGTAAGGGCTCGCGGCAACGAGTTGCTGGGTACGCTGATGACGTGGCCGATGAGGATAGGCTACGGCAGGAGCCAGGCGGCGCCGTCGATTGGCTGATGCGACCTTCCAATGGCGGCGCGGGAGGGCAGTCGGCGCGCAAGGAGTGGGACACGGGGATAGGGCGGAGAGAGGGGACCGCGGATTGGGGGAGCGGATGGGATGAGGACGGCGAGGAGCGAGGCTTGCACAGAGAACGCGGAGGCTGGTGGGTGGAGAGGGGCGGAGCAGGAGCGGGGAGGGCGGGGGGCGTGGAGGGGTGGATGGGGGACGGCAATGTGGAGCGCGTGCGACGAGTTGGAGCAGACGGACGCCCAGGGAGTGCAGGTGAAGGGCGGGAGGTAGGGTGGAGAGCGGTGGAGTCCGGTGAAAGGTGGCGTGGGGGCGACGGAGATGAGTGGGAGAGCATGAGTACTGGGATGGTCAGCAGGGACATGAGCACGAGATCAGCAGCAGCAGCAGCAGCAGCAGCAGCAGCAGCAGCAGCAGCAGCAGCAGCAGCAGCAGCAGCAGCAGCAGCAGCAGCAGCAGCAGCAGCAGCAGCAGCAGCAGCAGCAGCAGCAGCAGCAGCAGCAGCAGCAGCAGCAGCAGCAGCAGCAGCAGCGAGCATCAAGGCAACTGCCGCAATCATCACCCCCACAGCAGCAGCTGCAGCTGCAGCCCCTCTCCTCCCCCTCCTCCCCTCTCGCACCCATCCCCTCACCCTCTCCCCCTGCCCCTGTCCCCCTCCGCCAGTCTTCCCCCTCCCCCGCCTCGTCCCCGCGCCCCCTCCCCTCAGTGCTCCCCCTGCCGCCCTCGGCGCTGGAATCGCTCCTCCCCTTGGCTGGTTCCGGCTCACAGGTGCGATGCCATGCCATGCCATGCCATGCCATGCCATGCCATGCCACGCTGCGCATGCAACAATCATTCTTAACTCAAGCATTCTCGTGCACCAACCCTCCCTTTTCCTGGCATCCCACCCATGGCTCGCTTTGCCCTTCTTCACAATCGCTCTCACACTCACTCCCTCCGGTCGCTCCCTCGCTCTCTCCCTCATTCTCTCCCTCACGCATTCACTCCCTCACTCCCTATATCACTCCCTCCCACTTCCAGGTGGTAGCCTTCATGGGCTCTCCCCTGGACTGGCTGCAGCGATTCGTGCTCTCCATGGGCGGTGCAGTGCTGCTGTACAACGTGAACGTGTTCGCCACCATCGCTGCTGCCATGTACTTCCTTTGGTGGCCGCTCTGGCACGCTGCTGCCGCCAACTCCGCCCTCCGCATGCGATACAAGTTTGCAGGTGAGTGGCATTCGATGTAAGCGTGCCGGTGTATGGGATTTGATGTAAACGTACGGGTGTGTGGGAAGTGATATAAGCATGCAGAAGGGCACAGGGGCAGAGCATGGAGCAGTGCCGTGCGTCATGCCATCCTTCTCCCGCTCTTTCCTGAGTTTCCACACTCTCATCCCTCCATTAATCTCCTCCCTATCCCCCCCGTACGTGATACATATCCTGATTGCTGGCCTTGTCCGTCGGTCTGTCCGGGCGTGCCTAGCAAGAGGTGCAGCTCTCAGACGTGCAGAGCAGGCAGAGGCGCTTGCTACCCGAGTGGGGATCGCATGCACCAAAACACAACTCTCACCTGTGCCACCTCCCCCCATGCCACCCCCCCACATGCCGCCTCCCCACCAGGCGTGTGGCAGGCGCGGCTGCTGGACGTGCAGGTGGAGCAGAGGGGGCCGCTGGCCAGGTGGCGGCTGCTGATTGGCGATGACAGCGGCACGTGCATAGAGGCAAGTGGGAGTGACGTCAGCAGCACCTGCTGTGGTCATTTACAGCTGCCATAGGTCCTATTTGTTTTCATTGGCCTTGCTTCCATGTCTCACAACCTCGCTCCTGCGCGTCCCGTTCCCCTTCCTCCACTCGTAACACTCTCGCCCTAATCGCACCCATTTCCATTCACAGTGTGCACCCCCTGTGAGTGGTGACCATACCTCTCATCCTCCCCTCCCACCTGCTACTGCCAATCCGTCCCCTGTGACCCCTATACCTCCGTCATGTCTCCCCTTTCTGCAACCCTCCTGTGCACCCTTTTTGTGCCCCTGCGCACAGATGCTGGTGCCCATCCCCTCACCGCCTCCCGCGCTGCGTCCCAACGACCGCATGGCACTGCTGGTGCTCTCAGACAGCCCCTCGCTGATCCGCTTCCGAGCGGTCAGGGAGGCGTGGGTGCCGCGCCTCCGGTGCTGGCTGGCGGAGGAGGGGGCGGAGCGCGTGGAGCGGCGCGTGCTCGAGGGCCTTTGAGACACAAGGGGAGGGCTTGTGAGATGCGTGCGTGGTGGAGGGGTTGTGAGATGCGTGCGTGGTGGAGGGGTTGTGAGATGCGCGCGTGGTGGAGGGGTTGTGAGATGCGTGCGTGGTGGAGGGGTTGTGAGATGCGCGCGTGGTGGAGGGGTTGTGAGATGCGCGCGTGGTGGAGGGGTTGTGAGATGCGCGCGTGGTGGAGGGGTTGTGAGATGCGCGCGTGGGAGTTGAAGGGCGTTTGATTGACATGCCTCCAAGGGGCCGTGCATGAGGCACGCGGGTGCCATGCCTTGCATGCTGGCTGGCGGAGCAAGGCGGAAGCGCGTGGAGTGGCGCGTGCTGGAGTGGCGCGTGCTGGAGTGGGGGGCTGCTGGGACGCCCCACAGTTGCCGCTGCTACGCTGCCATGGCGTGGCAGGGAATGGCAGGGGCTGGCACTGTATGTGCTTGTGGGTTGCAACATCCGTGCACCTTTGATAATGCATTTGGAAAAAAAGTCTAGAAGCAGGTGACACCACTACTGCCGGCACCTTTGGTGACTGTATCCCCAAACATTTTGCTGGTGAATCGGCAAGAACTTTAAATTAAGTTGAGAGGCTACTCTACATCCAATGTTACGTTTTCCATGCATTGTAAGGTCTAACTACCATCAGCAGTACACTACAACCAAATAAAGAATGCCAATTTAAAGAAAGAATGTGTAGGCTACCCCCAATCTCATTAGAAAAGGTTAACTTGCTCCCCCATGGCCATGTGGCCATTCAGTGGCTTCCAAGCCAGCCGCCTCCTCTGAATGCCCCCACTTTGTGCAATCCGTACCCACACGCCCTAAACTGCCCTGCACTCTCTACCCACCCAGCCTTCCTTCCAGCCAACCATCCCATCCAGCCGCACCAGCCAGCCAGGCAGGAACCCGAATGAAGAGCACGCCACCATCACTTGCTGCTGCACTGACTATGCCTGCTGCTCTGCTCCTCCTCCTCACTCACCCCTTGGCTCCCCCGCTTGCCCCACAATGTCCCCTTGGCTCCGTCGCTCTCAGGCATGTCACGCTCACTGCTGCTCCATTCACCCCTGCCAGCCACCCGCTTTGCTGCCCCAACTCCAGGCAGTGAGCACGGGAGAAGCCAGCCAGCACACCTCAGCGTGCTGCAGCGCATGCCTTGTGCGTGCCGATGCGTGCCGAGATAGCACAGGCACCCACCCTGCGCGAGAATGGTGAGCGACACTGCTTATTTCCAACCGAACTTCCTGTTATCGGTTCGCTGCTGCTTCCCTCAACCACAGCTAATGTGCGCTGCCTCCTCACTCACTCCCCATTACACTCACTCGCTCTTCCACCGTTGCGCTCCATCTAGCACCTTCCCTCACTCCCACTCGCTGTCTTTCACACCCAATCCCCACAGGTCCCTACCATTTGCCACTGCTCACCCAATCCCCACAGCTCAGTCCCCCTCCGGCCCCATCACTCATCCTTCTCTGCCCTCACTCACCCCCCTCTCCCCCTTCACTCTTCCCCTCTCTCCGCTTGAACTCAGCAACCAGGCTGTCAAACGACACATCAAAAGCATCCTTCCACTCCCCGCCACCACTCTCCACCGCACCGCCCTCCCTAATATCCCCCCCAACCCTCCGCTCCGCCCCCTCCCCACCACGTGGCACTGCCAGGTGGCGGTACAGCAGCTGCGGCACCAACTCCCTGAGCCTCGCTTGCATGCTCGCCACACGCTCCTCCGGGATCGCCGCCAGCTCAGCTGCCACGTCAGCCGTCCCATTCAGAACGCCCTCCCCGTCCAGCGTCACGGAGATGCTGCTCCTGTCTTCAGGGAAGTGCCACGGGTACTGTATGTTGAAGCTCTCCTCTTTAAAGAACACGGGAATGCATCCTGCTAATAATGAGTCAAACGTGGAGCGCCTAACAGCGCTGTCCCCTGTCGGCTGGAGGCAGAACTTGCTCTGCAGCATCACCACCGCCACCTGCCACGTGTCATAGCATCCCGACGGGACCCACTCCGCCACGTCCTCCCCCTCCGCGTCCCGCGGCGCCGCGCTCCCCACCACCGCCTCGACCGCCTCCGCCAGCGCGGTCCCCGCGTCTGCCGCCGCGTCCGCCGCCGTGAAGAGCGGCAGCTCCTGCCCCACCTCGTCGGGCCCCGTGCATTTCATCCACAGGCACGTCGCGTTCCCCGCGCGCTCGCACTCCGCGATCAGCGCCTTGCGCAGCGGCCCGCTCGCGGTGCCCGAGGGGCGGCGTCCGCCCACGTAGGAGAAGAGGAACGGGCGGCGGCGCGCGGCGACGAGCGCGAGCCAATGGTTGATTTCCGCAAGCGACGCGGGGTGGAAAGTGGTGGTGTACGGTACTGAGAAGATAGGCGTCGCGTAGCTCTCTCTATAGGGCGGCTGCTCGACTGTAAGGAACGTGACATTAGCGAGCTCTGGCACAAAAATGACGTTATAATATGGCGGGTCGTCCACTAGCTTATGATTGGCGAAGTCCCAAATTGCGCGCCCCAGCACCACCACGTGGCGCGATCCCTTGGTTCGCTGAAACGCGGGCTGCCCGAGAAGAAACTCCTTGAGCGCAAGACCCGGGTGCGGCATGTGGCCCCGGTAAGCCGTGTTCTTATAAGCGTTCCACCCCATATAAGCCGGCACCAGAAACACGTCAGCCTTGGTATCGTCGTACGTGCGGCATGGGTGGTCCTCCAAGCGAGCGCGGAAGTGTACTTCGATTTGGTGCTGCTCCGTGCTGTACCACCGGTGCAACCACGCCCACTCCCCCGCTTGCGCGCCTTCCGCGCCTTCCACTTCCCCCTCCGACCGCGCCTGCACCGTTTTTTCCATCTTCGCCGCCAGCAGCGCGGCGATGAGCGCGCGCCCGCCGTCGCGGTCGACGGGGAGGCGGGGGCCCTGCGCGCGGTTGCGGAAGGCGTCGCAGGTGAGCCATGCGAGCACCGGGTCGTCGCACGCCGTGCGAACGACGTCGTCGTTGAAGATGGGTGGCATCGAGTAGACGAACACACGGCGGCCGTCGCACGATGGCTGTGCGACGGATGGCGACGCCTGCGAGTCTTCATTCCCGTTCGGCGATGCTGATTGCGACGCTGATAGCGCGGTCTCTTCGGAAGGGGGTGATGACGAGGAGTCACCCGACGTGTCAGTAGTGGTATCTGCAGCGAAAGCTGCCTCAGTGGAAGATTCGTGACCAGCGGCGACGGGATCGCCTTCATTTTCGCCGCTGAGCGCCTCACCAGCCGCAGCGCCATGGTCATGGGTGGGGGGAATGGCTGGATCGAGTCGATCGCGGTCCAGCCCGCCTGTGTCCTCGTCACTGTCATCGTCATCTCCTTGCCTCGCTTCATCCTCCCCACCAACCTTCTCCCCTTCCCCTGCCTCTCTTGCCTCCCCGTTCTTCCCCTTAGACTCGACTACGGTTTTTTCACTGGTCCTCTCCTCCCGCCCCTCCCCATTTGCGCTGCTCCCCTCACTAGTAGCTGCGCTGATATCATCCGACACATCGCCCCCTTCGCGCGCATCCTCCCGCCGACCTTCTACCTCCACTCCGTCGCCTTCCCGCGACTCACCCGCGTCTCCCGCTGACATCTCCTGCTCCAATAGAGAGTTTGCTACTTGCGCCACTTGCTTGGTATTCAGCGTCGCGAGTTGCGCGTCCGATTCCTTCTCGACCCCTTGAGCGCCTCTCGCTTCTTCCCTTCTCACTGTCACCCGCTCCCCCCTCTTCACCACCCGCTCCCCTTCTTTCACGGGCGGATGGGCCTTTTCACCGCCCACCTTTCGCGGCGCTTTTCTCTTCACGTCACCTCCAGCTGCCACGTCATCACGCCGCGTCGCCGATCCGGTCGACATTCTCGAGGTGAGACTCTCGATTGCCTGCAGCCGCGCCATTTCCACAGCTAGTTCGGACGGCCCTACGCCGCTTTCGACGGCGCTGAAGGTGGGGAGGGAGAACAAGGGCCAATGGAGGGCGCCCGAGACCCATGCGGCGGCGAGGAGCAGGAAGAAGAGGGCGGCGGGGGCTCGCAGCAGCGCCGCGTGATGCGGGGAGCAGAGCGCGCCGTGCAGCCACGAGAATGGGCCGCGCGCACCCTTGGCGCGGGGAAAGGGGCAAATTGTTCCGCCTATTGCCATGACGAGCGGGGGTCGCGGAGGCGGCGAGGAGCCGCGTGATTTGGTTCGGGGGTCAGCACGCGAGCTAGCGCTGTTTGGCGACGCCATGCTGACCTATCATTCAGTGAACGCTGGCGTGGAAACGATAACCTATCAATAGGTGAGGTAATACCTGTCGTGCGAGAGATGTTGGGTGTCTAATTGGTTGCGAGCGCTGAGGAGAAAGGGTTGCCTTGAGAAAAAGGGGTAGAATTGTAAGAGCAGCACTCCGATGGTGGTACATTCGTAGAAACGGGCGCCATGCGGCGCGGGGAGACAGGGAGATACGGTTGCGGGGAAGGGACAAGAGAAGAGCTGAGCCGATGTTGGTCGCTTTCACTGTACTCGTTGGTTTTGGAATGGAGCTTTGATTGAATGCTTGGGATTGGGACGCTGTTCACCATAGCTCGTGGGAAGAAACTCCAGAAGCTTGGAACGAAGGCTCGACGATCGCTAAGATAGTCTAGAGCGAGTCGCCCCAAAGTTTTTGGTGCTGGTGGAGCACGAAGGGAAGATTATAACGCTAGATTGCTGCTTACTTAGCAGCAGCAGACCAGCACGGGTCCCCCGTGGCTCGACACACGCAAGTAGGAGTGAGTCAGCGTTCCCTCTTCCTCTGGATTGGCTGATAGTGCGTTCGTCCCCCGCCTGATTCGTTGATTGATTGTTCCACATGCAAGTAGGCAAAATCAAGCCACCCATCGAGTGGGCGACCGCGAACCACCAGCGCAGATGACGCGGCACAGTGCGCGCAGGTAAGATGTACCATACAGTAAATGGGGGATGAGGTCAACACCTCCCTCGAGTGGGGTTCGTGCCTGCCCCCACCTGCAAATTTGCTAATGTCCCACCTCGAGGCGCTGTTCCCAAACAGCCTAACTGGACGCGCCTCGGTTTTGTTGATCTCGCCGCGCTTTATTGGAAGCGCAACGAATCAAAGGTCGGATTTGGTTGCTGGGAAGGTTGTTATGGAACGAAGCCAAATGTGTGCACGATTCGAATTCTGTAAATGGTGAGGCTAGAGCAACAAGGGTTACACCAATCGCTCAAATCTCGTGAATTTTCGTTGCAAGCAAATGTAACACCGAATTTGGATACTAGCTTGGGTCTTCTACTAATAAAGCATATAATACTAAAACACGCAAGCCAAGCTTTTCAAGCTTAGGAAGGTTGGTTGGGAGTGAGGGCGGTATTCGCCCGTGAGCCAATAGTGCTGGGCTGAAAAAGGCTTTTAGGATCGTTTCCGAGTACAGATGTAATTGCGGAAGCGTTCTTAGTGGGCTGGTTGAACCACCTTGAGCTAGTATTTTAGAACAAGATGTGTTGATTAAAGCAGAGTAATACAAGCAGATTAAGATTACAGGGAATATGAAAAGGTGCGACTAAATGTTGCTGTTGCTGTTGCGGTTCGATACAACGGCGACTCAGGCAACTGCTCAATACCGAACCAGTTGTGTGTCCTTGCTGTCGCGCTGCCTTTCGGCGAGTCAAAGGTCGCTGACCTTTGACCTTCGCTCAACCTCTTGCTGTTACATTTTGTCAACCTCTTCGGTTGACTCGCTGTTGCTTTGCTCTAGTTCGCCTCGTTTGCGGCTCGTCGTTTCGATACATCAGAAGCGTGAATTACATCTTTCCAACACTCCCCTTCGCTTCTGGAGTGTCGTTGCTGGTGACGTGGCCTTGTCCAGTCAGCAACATGCAGTACTCGAATTTCTGCTTTTCGAGTTTCTTGGTCAAGTAGTCTGCTGCCATCTCGGATGTGGGGCAGTATGACAGCTCGAGTCTTCCCTTCTCGATCTCGTCCTTCACGAAGAAATATCGCAGGGCAATGTGCTTCGTTCGGTTCGCGGACCCGTTCTTGTTCGCCATGAGAATTGCCGATTGGTTGTCGGAGAAAAGGGAGAAGCTGGGTAAATGGGCCAGTTTTGCTTCTTCCAGTAGTTCGCGAAGGTACAATCCTTCCTTGGTGGCTGAGCAGAGTGCGATGTATTCTGCTTCAGCTGAGGAGAGAACAATTAGCTCTTGCTTGCTTGACTGCCACGAGATAGGACCAATAGGCTCGCGTCGGTAGATGTAGCCGGTGTGCGATCGCCTGTTTTCGGAGTCGCCGGCGTGGTCAGCATCCACGTACCCGATTAGTTTGGGCGTCGTGGTTCCGGTTTTGTGGTAGGTTAGACCGAATGTCGGAGTGCTGACAAGGTAATGCAGTGCACGATCAAGTTCCGCCATATGCTCTACTTCGGGTTTCTTGAGGTAGGTGGCGAGTTGGCTCGCTGAGTATGATAGTCCGATCGGCAGGTAACGGCTGCAAAGAGTAGGCATCCCAATTTTCGCTGGTAGTCGCGTATGCCGGCGGGACCGAGCGGAGCGGAGGCTTCTTTGTGATTTATGGCGGTGTAGCGGTATGGCGTGGAGATGGCGGCTGGGGTTAGTCCGAAGTGCTTTGCGATGGTGTCGGCGTATTTTACGGTGCTGAGATAGATCACGTTCTCCCCGTCTTGTATGTTGAGTCCCAAGTATTGCGTCACGGTAGAGGAAGCGGCGAGTATGAGGTCCCGCTGCAGCTCCCCTTCATACCAGGTTGTGATGCCGTCGGTGGAGCCTATGTAGAGCAGGCCGTCTACATAGATGATAAGCAGGATATAATCGGTGGCTTTTGTGAGTCGATACCCGTCGGTGGCTTTTTCGTGTGGCAATTGGCGAAACCCGATGCGGATTAGTCGGGCGTGTAGGCACTGCTGCCACAGCCTCGGCGCTTGCTTGATGCCGTACAACGACTTTAGCAGTTGACAGACTTGATTAGGATCTGTGTCGGATCCGTGTGGTCGCTCAAAGAAGATTTCGGCTTCGATAGGAGCGTAGAGAAATGTGTTAGCCACGTCGATTTGCCGAAGTTTCTTCCGCTTCATGGCGACTATCGCAAGGAGGATTTGCAGAGAGGTGTGTCGGCTGACCAGTGCGAAGAGCTCGGTGAAGTCTCGTCCGTGTTCTTGGTCGAAGCCGCGCACGACCCATCGTGCTTTGAACTTGTCTATTGTCCCGTCTGCTTTCGTCTTCACGCGGAAGACCCATTTTCCAGTGAGTACGGTCTTGTTGCGTGCCACTCCGATGGGTACTATCTTCCAGGTGTTGCGTTCTTCCAGCGCCTTTAACTCTCTGTCCATGGCTTCGCGCCATTTTTCCCTGTGTTACCCCCGAGAGCCTGCTGAACTGTAGTAGGCTCCTTTGGCGGCGATGCTCCGTGGACGGCGGTAATGAGTCCGAGTATCTGCAGTCCACTCTGTGAGAGTTCGGGGAGATTCGGGTCCTCGGGATAAACTGTTTCGTCTCCCGCTTCTGGATTAGGTAAGAAATTGGGTCCTATACGTTCGGAGACGTTGGTGTCGACTGGTTGGGGTGTAACGTAACCGTTGTCGGCAAAGTGGTAGTAGACTTCGACGTTGATACTTTCGCGAGGGTTATCGTCGTCCATCGGGACGTCGACCAAACAGTAGGGAAGAGGTCCGTCTCCTTCCTATGCTTCGTCCACGTTTTGCTCGTCCCAGTCAGCCTTTTCTGCTGGCGAAGCGAAGGCTCGGTCACCACGAAATCCGCCCGTGGGGTCTCGTTCTGCTTCTAGGTTGTCCAGGTACGTTTGAAGGGTGAGTCGTTCGTAGAAAATCACATCACGTGCTGCTACTGTTTCCTTCGAGTGGACGTAAAAAATCTTCCATGCGTTGTAGTGTTTTTCGATGCCCAGGTGTAGTCCCCACTGTGCGCGTTGGGAGAATCGGCTGGCTCCTGCAGTTGGGGTCGGTACCAGGCCTCTCGATGTGTTTTGGGGCACCCTGCCAGAAGTAAGATGTGATCGACCTTCACCCTGCCACTGCAGTGTGCCAAGCGTGGCTTACTCAAGAAATTGCAGGGTTCTTCGATTTCCTTGTCGGAGTTGGCAGGGTAAAATTTTCGCCAACCTTGTTCAGCTGTAATCTGTTTTTTTTTTTAATTGGCTGGGAATTGATGTAGGCGGAGAGTGAAGCGAGAGGGGGAGGGGTTGGGGAGAGGTGCGTAAGTGTGAAGAGTCGAGAGTGAGCCAGAGTGACTTGCCTAATTTTCAGTTTGGCTCAGTGACTTAACTGGTTTTCCTGTGTGACTCAATGACAGCCGCTTTTCCAGACCGCTTGAGTGGCTTCGCCAATTTTCAACGTGTCTCAGTAACTTAGACACGTTTCCAGTGTGTTTCAGAGCCTTCGTTGACTTGGACAAATTTCCAGTGTTTCTGAGACTTCGCTTATTCTGCTGTGTGCCCTACTGACTCAGCCGAAATTTCAGAGTTCCTGTCTCAGCCAGATTTATTAGGCGTTTTTTACTTAGAATTATTTCGAGAGCGAGGAAGCTCGACTCTAGAAGGGGTTTAGGCAGGGTAAAAATGTCTTAGACTCGGATTCAGCGGGGTCAAAAACACGCTTCTACCTGCATCTGAAGGGTATATTTTCAGTCATGTCAAGCTGTGTCAGGGCGATAGGGTCGTCAAAGTCAAGTTCAGCAGGGTGAACCAAAAAAATCACTCTGAAGAACAGGCTAATCAGGGTAAAACACCCTGACTTCCTGGGGCCTGGTCGGTACTGTACCATGCAGCCGAACACTCGTAACATTTTTGTGCTGCCCAATTTTCCTGTCCACAACAGATGCGGTGATGCGTTGTTCGGGAGCGATAATGACGAGAGCAAGTTGTGCAACATCACAGCATGGTCCATTGCCTCGGGCCACTGGTGGTTGGGTAGCCGCATGCCACGTAGCAGCTTGCCCGTGGTGTTCTGGAGGGTTCTGTTCATCCTTTCTGCCACACCTTTTTATTGATGGGCGTAGGGAAGGGAGATGAGTCGCTTGATGCCTCTCTCTGCCAGGTACTGCTTGAACCTCTGTGACTGGCATTCCCCTCCCCCGTCTGACTGGAAGCTTTTCAGCTTCACCGCTGATTTCCGTTCCGCTACTGGAAGCCA